AATAGTCGCCATAATTAATAATATGTCAGCTAGTTGTATTCTATAAACTAACAATTTTAATGTATTTTCATTTTTTTTTTTCCCCTATTTGACGGTAAACCAAAGCATTTTGGTTTTGATCATAAATAAAACGTTAACGTGTATAATATTATACTAAAAACGGTGCGAATGTTAAAATAATTATTGATTTCAATTTGTTTAAAAAACAAAACGTAAACCACGCGCTTAGCAACTAGCAGTGGCGTCATTTGGACCACCCTGGGTTTACATTATTGTGTATATTTTAAAATACAGAATTTCGCCTCTAGCCCTCCAGAGTACATGCGAGGAAACTGAAAGGTACCTTTTAAGTACAATAATCGTGTCGTTTTTTTTTCTATAATAATATCAAAACCTAACCATCGCCACGGTATAATAATTGTTTTAACGAGTAAAATAATTTACAAAAACAAATAAATTGTCGCGGTAATTATTAATTTCACAAGAGACAAATTTAGTAAGTGTTTAAATTACATTTCAAGGAGAGAAATAGCAAAAATATTTATTTAACCGTGCACGAACAAAAATCAGTTAACACCAGTGATGAACGATTTACTTTTTTCATGGTGTTTAATGACATATTTTAAGGGTTGAAAACGTGACGTCGGCGATTTTGACAAACTGATAAATTTAATTTGCGCGTACGTGAAATTAAGCAGTAGAGGACAGAGATACAAAGATGATATACGATACTAATGGCCTGGAAGTAATTCACGTGATCTTAACCTGGTGTTTTCGTCAAGTAGTGGAAAAACGAGTTGAATAGTATGCGAGATATGAACAAGTAAATGGAGCGTAAAAGAAAAAAAAACTCCAAAGGGTGAAATCGTATTTGGATGTAATATTTTGTAATTAATAGAAACAAAAAATGGTTGAAACGACTCGCGTGTAAACCACGGAAAAGATTAAACCGTTTTCTGTGTAAAAAATATATTAATTATAGATTTCAGATGTTAAACTTAAGAGGACGTGTGTAGAAAAGGCTGACGTAGAAAGTAATTAAGTATTTAACCGACGGATCATACGGAATTCCCTGACTCATAAAAGATTAACATAATTCCATTGCAATTATCCTGTCATTAAACATTGGCTGTATTACCTTACCCAAACTTACAATTTACAACTAATCAAGGAACTATGAATAAAAAACGTTTAGTTGGCCAAACTTGGGTTGAAAAAAAAACAATTATTTTTACAATATGCGTTTGGATATTATATACTTACTAGTTGTTTACACGATGCGGTTGCAATGATTTTATAGCTACATACTAACTACACCAATTTGCAACTATCGACATTTACAACAACACTTTATATAAGACCGATGTGGTAGTTCGCATCCCTTATTCCCTTGGCTCGCCAACTTATATTATATAATGTTACATTGTTTTTGACACACATCAATATTTAGGATACCTATACTAACGACCGGTCGAATTTTTAACGTCACTCTTCGTCTCTTTCATTAAATAGATAATAATTGATTACTGCGGTAACCGCTTTCGGTTTTAACGGCACGTTTTTTTTTTTTAAATTCAATATTCTTTTTTAGATTATTTATGTAAAAAAAAAGTAAATATAAAGTTATCAAAATTAATATTATCCAGGTACAAAATAAAAATATGCGGAGCCGACAGAACGAGTGTTTATTGAAATATAACTCAAGTAAATCATATGTTATACAACGAATGTACGTATAGTGTACACCTACACAAAAGTAGATATTTTATCCATCAAACAGACTCGGTATCGAATAGTATACTGTACATGTATGAAAACATTAAACCGTTCAATCTCGGGTGCAACCGGGACACAAACAAATTATACAAGTGTAGTGGATATACTATATTTTGTTTGGCTCTTATATTATAGTCAGTTATTACTGTTTTATAAGACAATATATTATTGCCGACCGACATCGTCTCGAGAATCGACGATTAATTCGAGTTTGGAAATTGTATCTTTGGAGTTTGTGTGTACCCCACCCCCTCCCACTGGCTCCTTTGGAGTGGTTTTGGCCGGAAAATAATCCCTGGCATTTAAAAAAAAAACCTATGAAACTTTTCGAGCCGGGTGTAACGCATACATTGAAACCGTTATTTTTGACGATTTATCGCCGTTGTCTGGTACTACTCTCGTGGCCACAGTAATAATATATATATATATATAGCCGTGAAGTCTCAACACAAGTTTTTATTGTTCTGCGGGCACTTAAAGTTAGCCCCAAAGCAAGTGCGCGGTAACACTATGGATGTATACACCTACATATTATGTGCAATAAGGTACGTACACAATAATTCTTTCAACATATACGCCACAACGTACACGTCCATGTAGAGTCGTCAAGCACAACCCTTAGCACATTGTGCTAAGGACATTATTTATTCGCGGGAACATAGAATTAAAAGCATGGCATTTTATTTTGGTTTGCGGGCATCTTGTATACGGAGGCCATACAGCCATGCAGTTTTAGTAGCGGTATAAAGTTTTATTACTTAAGTAGCCAATGTCATCTCACCGCGAAAACCGTTTGATTACTATTATACACCTGACCGTCGTTAACTTTGCGTTTCGATGCCGACCGTAGAAGTTATTGTCTTCACAATTGTGTGTTTTTATTTACTTTGTGTAACGATATCTCCTAAATCGCCGAACCGATTTCACCGTGTAGCAAGTCTATAAATCAGAAATCAATACTGAAAGCAACTTGATCGGGGCAAAAATGCAAGAATGGTCACCCCTTTCCCTTGAAAATCGAGAAAAACAACCCAAAAATTACTTGTTTTGGAAGCTAAATCATAGTTTATATTGAAAATATTATCTTGTGGATTGTTTAATGGAAATTAATTTGTTGATCGGACAACGTCCATAATTGATATTGTTCCAACTAGACATAGTTACGCGGAACTCGTTTATCTCGGTCCATAATAGTTTTCAACTTTAGAGCGAAAACGCCAACTACAAAAACGAGATGACGTTTCAGATGAAATATCATATCTACACGTATAATGTTTGGCTCAACGTCAAAAACGCACGTTTTAATAGTTTAGGAAAAGGATTTTTCACTCCATGCAAACGTCATTCTCTTTTAATTTCCTAATAAGTATTTTTGAACCATCTTAGCCATCACAGGCGTTTGAAATGCAAAGTTAGTAATGCAAAGCCAAGTTAGTAGTCGTTCCGAACAAACATTTTAATAACTTCCACAACTATTATAATCAGGCCAGAAATGGATGGCTGTACAATTCGGATGCATTAAATTTTATTTAAAAAAAAAACATATTATACTATACATTAGCAAAACTAATTTTACCTAATTTATGTTTATTTGTGTGTTTTTCTTTTGCGTCGTAACTATGTAGATTTTTAATAATTATTATGTTCGTGCCAAGTCACTACTCTAGGGTGGAGGTTTTTTTTTTATATTATTCTGAAAGGAAAATGAGACGTCTTTACTGTATTGATGTTAGTCCTTTTATTATGTAATTTATTTCGCTCAGACTAGACCTCATCAGCGGCATTCATTCAACGCGACAATAATAATAATAATAATCATCCAAAAATAATAATACAGTGCTCCGCAATACTGTTTGTTGTTCACGAGTTTTGTAACGAACAATCTTTAAGTAAAAAAGTATATTCATTTTATTTTTAGAATATATTCTGAATTCCGCTTAGGAATATTTTTAGTTCATCCGTTTCTCAATTCCAAGTTAATAAAAACTTTATTCGAGGGGTGAAACTTAATATAAAGTGAATTGTGTTCGTTATGTAATAAGTTATAAGTCAAGAATGAATTAAACAAATTTACTGACGCAACGCGTTAGTTTGTAGTCTGTATTACCACGGCGAATATGTTTACTGTTACCGAGTTGGAGTTATAATTATAATTATTAGTGGTATGTTTTTCGTAACTATTAAAACGGAATATCGCAAAATTCAAGTAGAATCGAAAAATTATTTTTCAAAAAACATAATATGGCATACAACGTGTTTTTAATACGGAATGGATAACTAAATCATGATTGTTGTTCTGGTTTATTTTATCAAATATTTAATTTACGTTAAGACTTTTGGGTATAATAAATACCGAGTAATGGTCCTAAATAAACGTTAAAATATTATGCTTTTGATACTGGTATTTAAATTAATATATTTTTTTTAATACATTTTTTCACCCATAAAGATGTTATATAGCTTCAAAATTGATTTACCAAGTTACCTCTACGGAGTGATTGGTTAAATATGACCCGGCGAATATTATATAGAAGATATTGGACTTCTTCAGGCTATTTTTTTTTATACTTTTATGGTCGATGGTTCGTCCAATTTCAATTACTTAGAAAAAAAAAGTTAACATCGTCTCTTGTGTGTTAAAACCTTACGAAATTAAGCTTTTTGTATTGCAACGTAAATATTTAATTGACTTTTTAATTTAGTTTGCTGAAAATATTGACAAATAAAAATTATACAAAAATGGTACAGTACAGCCTAAATAAAATAATAACAATTATTATTATTATATATGAGTACTGTCCAATATTGTGAAAATAACACAAACTAGAGTGCTTCCAAAAATATGTGTCTACAAAATTAGTAATTACATAAAAATAAAACGAGCGTGTTATCCTCGAAGAATCGTCCTGTACACTGTCAAAGTTAACCGTACAGTAGTAGTTTATCCTCTGTACCTACTTGTAACTAAGCAGTTGCTCTTCGACTAAACTTACACGACGTTATTGTAATCGCTCCACGCGCAACAACGTATTATTATTCATCAACTCCGCCAATACACCCAAATGCGTCCGCTCGTTACAAACACATGAATTATATATGAGTTCCAAAAACTCATTTTCCGTTTAATTAATTAGTCGCGTGCCCTACACACTTTAAGGCGCATTTATAAATAATATAATATGTATACATATAAAACTACAATAACTCAAGTGAAATGTACTCACTTTGTTTTCGTCAAAAACTCTGAAAACGAGCGAAGCGAATTTCGTCGGGTCGCCTTGCGGGAAGAACTGTCTGTAAATTTTAATGAATCCCTAGAGTAAAAAAAAAAACAAAAAAATACAAATTACAAATTAAAACTGACCGATCTACGAACGTTATACATTATTAAGCAAAAGACTATATTATTCTTTGGGATTTTTCATGTCTGTGTTGATATACGACGCGACGTCGTCGTCTTTGCTAACTTTATGACTTTATTTATGAGAAACGGAAATTCTTCCTTTTTAACTTTCGGTTAACCGGTCCGTAATTCTTTTTAAAAAAACACGCGAAACTTGCTGCCTTAAAATAAAAAACATTTTTGTCCCTCGTTTTTGGCTACATTTAACGTTTTCCCCGGGCAAAGTTTTATGTGTATAGCGTCTTGGGGACTTCGAAAACTAATTTTATACAGAAACTCGTTTTGCACAAGACAAATACTTTAGTTTACGATAATAACACTTTAATTGAGTTAAACTACAAAGACAATAATTTTTTCATACAATCATTTATTTATTATTACGTAACGAGCTGTGTCTACAGTAGTTACAGTGAATATATTATTGGAAAATTAAAATGTCCATTATCAACTAAAAGTACCACAAAAAAACGAAAAAAGAAATAACAATAATAATAAGAGAATTAACTCAAGATAAGGTGCAAATACAAAAACAATTACGCAAAAGAAATACGAAATAATAACATAAATTTACTATAAAAAAGTAAACGTGGTTTTAATATTGATATGCATAATAGTATTATAATTAAACGCAAACGGGAAACTGTTTGTTCAAGTACTTTAATTAAGCATATTTGAAAAAAAAAATATTATATTAGTATGGACCACATATTATTATATATTTTGTATTTCTAATTAATCTACGTATGAAAAATGTCTAAGACGACAATGGTAACTAATTTATTTAAAGTCAATGTAGGATGTCTAGTGCTGATATACAAGTAACTGTATGTAATAATATGGTCAACCGTGTAACTGAAAAATCATACATATTTAAGTATACAACATATTTATGTACTTGTAACATTGATGTTTAAAATGGAAGTTTTTACGGTGTTTAACTCCTTAAATTGCATAAATACCATTACGGCTTTCTCAGAACTTAAAAATGTTTTCTATGTTTGGTCGCTAGAGACAGAATAAGATGTAATAAAAAAAACATAACGGCCACATAAATACATATTAAAAGAAAAGTTGTGTTCTTAGAAATTCTATAATCATAAATATGGCCATATTTTCACAAACTAAAAAGATATAAGGTCCCTACTAAACGAAGTAGGTCATAAAATGTATATATATTTTTTAAATCTTAAAAGTCTACCATCATATTATATTTTTTTATACGTCCCCGATCTCATTAAAATTAAAAAAATATTTTAGAAGCTTTTTTTTCGTAGGCTATCCATGACCGTCGTGAGTTTCTTTTTATTCTGTATGTTAAAATAATTTTTTTCATAACACGAGAAATTTCCATTTATGATTTACAACGTCGTCCGAAAAAATAACAAAATAATGATACGATTTATGTAAATGAAATATTTAATAGTGTGAATAATGATGTATACTTACTATATGTGACTTTTTTAATTGGACCAATAATAATAGAGATGTAAAATGTCTCAAATAGATTTCTCAACCATATAAGACATTGTTTTTTTTTGGGGGGGGGGAGGATACTTGTTTTGCTTACAATACAGGGTGATTTTTTTATAATGTGATCCACTCAATATCTCATAGGGTTTTTATACTAAGTGATCTTAATTTTCACAAACTTTTATAGATAGGATCACACTAAAAAAAAAAAATCACCCTGTATAATATAAAAGATCATTGAAAAGTGTGGCTTTTTGGTGTGTGTATTGTGCAATACTATGAGGATGTCGTGTATATACAGTATGTGTGAAATCATAATATAGGTAAATGTAACGAATGGTAATTTCCGTTTGACGAACGACTTACTTGTTCCGTGAGCAATCCGTTGGGGCAATCCTTCAGAAATCCTTTGTGCCTGCAAACACACACATAGCGTTATCGAAGGGACTAAATTAAATACAAATGCGTCATGTTGTTTTATATATTATGTCCAGATAGGCTGAAAGGCCGAGAAAACGGACGACAAAATATAATTTTAAGTTCCAACATTTAACTAACGGCTTCTAGGGCGGTATAGTTGACGTCGTGACAAATAGCAAGGAGTCGCCACTAGCATGGTATACCGTTTTCACGGCCGCCGTGAACCTACTATAGTATTATGCTAGTATATTATTATGTATTCCGTTTTGGAGCCCTAGCCAATTATCTCGCGTCCACGGTCGGCCGTTATCAATCATCATATTATGATAATAACGGCGCGATCCATCATCTTCTAATTATACCGCCCAGGCGAATACGGTATTTACGACGGACCGTGGCGGGGTGAAATAAATAATAATAAAAAAAAACCTCGTCCATTACAAAATATAATATGCTCGGTACCGCGTGATAAGGTCGTGGGCGTTCTTATGAGTGACCTTATAATAATAATATGTGCGTTTGAACTGAATTTCAGATCTAAAATCGGCCGGCGGGCAAAATAGGATTATTTTTCTGCTCGGCGGAACTTCCAGAGTCGTTGACAACCGTTTACTGCCGGCCATCGGCCCCGCAAAGGGGGTTGTATATTAAACTCGCTGGTGGGCACAACCTCGGTAATTCGCCGTGGCAAGTATACCTAATAATAATAATAATAGCGAAAATGTTGGTACAAAGAACCCGAAACGAGTAATGGACAAACGGCGAGCGCGGCAGATAAATAAAAAAATTTTAAAAACCGACAACAACGAAAAATGCATACCCCGAACATTTGTCGGGTTTATCGGTGGGAATCGGTAATGCGATTTTCGCGTGACAAACGAGTGTGGCCTACATTTGGTTTCTACGAATACTCACGGATTTTTGATTTTTTTTTTTGTCAACGACACTCGTCAGTCTTTGATTTTCCGACGCCGACGATTTGTATTAAAACCGCGCGTACCATTCGCACGGGGTGTCGATAGATACTTATGTATGTACGGCAAAGGGGGAGGGGGCAAGAGTAAATCGTAAATTTATACCTACCGAAAAGGCGTTTTGCCGAGAAAAAAAAACTCTCGTTGATTCAATTTCTAACAATTTTAACATGGATGTGTTATAGGGCTGCGGATACACGAAATTTCATGTCGTTATTTTCCCGTTACACTTTCACGCGATAAGAGATAAGAAACTAGAGATAAGAGAAGAGTGATAAGAGATAAAATATGCGATGAGATAATAGAGATGTGATAAATTATGAGAGATAAGAGATATCTACGTGATAAGAAATTATATACAAGTGATAACAAATAAATTTTAATCGATGTGATAAGAGATAACATATCCGTGATTCAATGTTTTTTTTTCGTGGGGCGTATGTAAGTATGTATGTATTTAACCCATTCAGAGATATTTTATTTGATAAAATTATAACAATTTATGAATAGCACAAAAAATAACTGTTCTCGGCATTTAAACATCTGGGTTATATTATTGGGACTGATTGAAATGTAAAAAACAAGTTTTAATTAAGAAACCGCGAGTCGTTTTATCGGCGGTGCACAATAAAACTTAGTTAAATGAACCTTTTAAATGACGGGCGCACTTAAGACCACATTGGATGTATTTTTTATTTCTTCTAATATTATTTCCCTCGCCATAAAGTTTTTTAACTATTGAAGTATTGTAAAATATAAAACTGATGCAGGTGTAAAAATGTAGGTAAATAAAATATGTTATTGGTATTTTGGGACAAGATACCGCAAATGGGTTTTCCAGTATACTTATGGGTACATAGAGAAACGTTTTTGAAAATGTGAAATACGTGTAACACGATAAATTCAACATATACTAATCTAGTTGAAAATTGCTAATAATTATTTGTTTTATTGACAATAGCGCCAGTTATAGTAACATGATATAATAGTAATGTTATTGGTGGCACTATATTTGAATTAACCCATTTTGTGATTATCGACTAATGGTGGCGATTTTAATCCATTTCCCTGTGCTTTTTTTTTTGTGTGTATCTCAAACCGCGTTCGCTGGAAAAGCCATTTTCGCGAATAAAATAATTATCATAGCTCTACCAAAACACATTTGGTTTTGTGCCATTTAAGCCGTTTTCATACAAATGAATTCGGTCTGGATACAAAACCGCAGTGTAGCCGAGCTTAATTAAGCCGTCACTTTCATCTCGTACTGTTTTATTCATAAACAACAGCCGCTATAGCGATTCTCAGTGCTTTGCCACAATTTCAAACAATATGTTTGTGTAACTCAACTGGAGCGTATCTAATAATTATCGAATGTAAAAGCCGAGTGCTTGTGTTGACAGAAAAAAAAAAGACATAAAAGTTTGCATTGTACAGGACAAAAATATTTTTTTGTACAGTGAAATTGTCTTCGTTGTGGATGAAATTTAAAACAAAGACTACCTACCCAACTATGTGTAACGTACAAAAGAGTAAATTGTGGCATTAACAATACATCCCAATTGGTTTTGTATGTATGAAATAAGTGTAATAGTGGTTACTATAGTGAACAACTATTTTGAACGATATAAAGTGTCTATAATATAAATTGCATTTGTTTGTTTTAACGGTTCTATCAAAATTAATCGTGCAGTCCGTTGTATTTGTATTTATATTTCATCCGCTTTATTCAATAACTTGCGCTCAAGAGAATAATGATTATTTAGAGTTTTAAAGAGATGTATTTTATTCGAGACAGAAAATATTATTTTCGTCGAATCCATAACATTTTGGAATAAATCATCGCGGTACCTGACTAAAATATAATATACATTAAGTACAAAAATCAGACTATCTAACAAGAATCTTATAAACACTTATTTGTCTTTTAGTTTATGTTCTTTTCATAAATTACTCGTTATCCCTATTTAAAGTTAAGTTTAAAAAAAAGTGTATTTTCGTTACCGATTGACAAGTGGCGACACCTTAGTAAAAACCTATTTTCCCTATTGGGGATCTAAAAGATGTTATTTTTATAAACTCAAATAATAATAAACAAAATATTTTTAAAAAAAATTTAAAAATGTACTTACCATTGTCTGATTTCTTTTTCCGAAACTATGCCGCAAAACAAAAAAAAAAACAATCATAATATTAATATTGTACAAAAATATTTTATAGGTATTTAAAAACAATAAAATATTCATTTAATATTATATTTATTACTTATTAGGTTATATTATTGACCTAAGATATGTGGATGGAAAAAAACAGCTTATTTTTTATTTAATATAAATTGTGAGCACTTCGTTAGACTATTTTTAAATTTTGCTACTGGTAAAAAAAAATAAAAACCAACACTCTTAATCTAAAAAAATTGCTCTGTGTGCCGGGAATTGCTTTTGGGCTTTAGGTTGGATTACATATTGTAACTGGCTACTGCGTAGTGCCTTAAACTAGCATTCACGACATCCACGCAGCGTTTTCAATAGTATATAATACAGCAACCTAATCGAGCAAATACAAAAGGTTGTTGCAAATTGTTGGCTAATATTTTTTTACGATTTTCTTACACAGACCGAGTTGGTAATTAATTAAAAAATGTATTAATAAAAAGAGAATGTAATTCTTTATCTTATATTATACCAAAGGCATTATCTATTTTTCACTTGAAAACTTTTTTTTTTTTAACCTATTTGAACTGTTCTAATCGGTCTACTCGATGGTTATTAACTATATAAATTACATATGTCACATTAATAATAATGTAATGGTAATAATAAAACGATTTTATCGCATAAATGAGATCAAGTAAAATATTACTACGGGTTTATACTTCTATAGATACACTTTTATAGCCTTTAGGTTTTTAATCGTGACTGTACATTTGTAACGTAAATCAATATTGATGTATTGTTTTTTTAAAAATATATTATTCTTAATTTGACTTAAGAATTAAAACATTTGTTTCGTACAACTTTTCTTTAGAAAATATTGGTTGACAATAACAATAAATATTGTCAGTTAAACAAAGAGAAAAAAAAATCCAGATAATATAAGTATCGTCAAAGACTTTAATGTATCTCTAACGACTTTTTAAATCATTTACAATTTACTTGAACGATTTATATTAAAAAATATGTTATAATAAGTTTAAAAACTAATGCTAATTTTACAAAAAAAAAACCTTCATACTAAGCAATTTTATACATTTCTGTTGTCATATTGTAGTCATTTAGGCGTAGAATGGCACAACTCTTGAAAATCTATAAAATATTATTATTCTATAAAATACTTTTATTGTTTTTTTTTTTAAATAAATGTTATAGTCCTTTGTATGCTAAAACCTCCTTATTATTTAAACGATTACGCTTCGAAGAAAATCTGACATGCAATAAAAACAGAAGCAAAAAACTATAAAACCGTTTTTAGAAAACAGTGCTTTTCTTTTTCAATTATATCAGTTAATTTATAATTTTTTTATGATAATATTGTTTTGAAAAAAAATTATAAATCAAAAAGTGGGTTGTGCCATTTCCTCAGATTTTATTATCGTCGTGTAAATAAAATCGGTCATATGTGTAACGTATCCTCGATAAATCTTTTAAATAGCTCATACAGCTGTTATATTTATAGGAATAGCCGTTAATCGTTGTACTTAACGTTTAGCGATAGCAAACAAATGTTTTACTACATTTATTTAAATGCTCATGCGTTCAAATACAATCTTATTGGTCTCATTTATTTTCTTTGATATGTGCTATGACATATAATATTGTAAAAAAATATATTTAATATGTTGGTGTGATTCTTTATGCGTTCCAGCTGTTTAACTATATTCTAACAAGTCATGCGCTTAGAGGATAAAAATTGTTTAAATAACGTTTTTTTTATATTATATTTATTGAGAATACCTATTCTGTTAGGCCAAACGGTCTAATTGATACATGACAAACACGATGCATTATTGGTTCTGTGTAACTGACACGATTACATTGGCTAAACACGTCAGTATAATACAGTATTGTGGACAGTATTGCAACACATGGTACGTTAAAAAATATATGAAATAAAAAATACATCATCGTAGATTATCGACAATACGACTGAAGTGCAAACCGTGAAGTTGGCCCGTCAAACAATAAAATACAATTTTTCTTTCTTTTTTAAATTACTTGGGCAGTTTCCCATTCGTGTATCTGAGGTAATTGGTTTCTTAAGTACTTCATGAGTATTACCCATAATCGAAAATACTGTAAAAAATAAAATTCCTATATGTATACAGGATGATAAATTTAACGAAAGACACTCATTTTATCGGAAAATAATTGCAATTTTATTATTTTTCTTTTAGAAAATATTTTTGTACAATATTTTTAAAATATCAAATATTTACCTTTTTAAGTATTTCCCAGGACTCTATCAATTTTTGAAATTTAAATGATATATTTAATTAACTTTGCAAATTAAGAATACTGGTCGATAACCAGTTTTGGATAATTAGTTTTAATGTTATTAGAATTTAAAACTTAGAACGGCTGGAAGGGTAGAGCGTAATTATTACTTCACCGTCCTAAATTTTAAACTTCAGTAACTTTTAAAGTATAATTATCCATAATTTAATATACGTTGTCGTTTAAGTTTCAAAAGTTTATAGAGCTTTAGAAAATAATAAAATAGATATAATTTTAATATTGTACTATATTGTAAATTAACACAAACTAAAGAGTCTCCAAAAAGAAAAACTACGAAATTGCAATTATTTTAAGAGGAAAATTAGTGTCTTACGTTAAATTCATCACACTGTATATTATTATGTCTCGACCACTTTGTTTGTAGAAACAGTATCTGTTTAGGGTAAAACTGCAAATAATATTATCCTGATGGTATTAGGGAAAAACAAATAAGATGAAAGGTCTTTTTTTATCCGTCATTCCTTGTCGGGTCGCAGTTTATATTAATTTAACTGATGAAAATTCCAGGCTTTTAACGTATATTTGGCCTTTGAGTTTTTTTCCGTCCAGAACTAGCGCAGTTAACACGATTTGCCGGTGGTAAGTTGCGTTGTGTACACAGTGACTTCGTTTTTCCCCATAGAGTACACGTTTAAAGTTAGCAAGGGTCGCATAATATTAATGCTCGTGTACAAATAAAACAATGTAGGTTATATTAAGTATTTTGTAAAGCAGACTCGCAATAAATAATTTTTAGAGGGGAAAAAACCCGTTTCGTCGAAACGGCAATTAAAAGGGTTCGACCAACAACCGCATGTACTTTGGCGATTTACTAAAGTTTTGAGCGAGAAAAAGTTGGTTGAAAAAAAAAAGAAACACTCAAAGTGGTAATTTATTGGCGGCATTTAAAGTGGTTGGAACAATAATTAAGATATGGGGTTGTACAATTGCTATGTCTCCCAATAGTAAACATGAATGCAATTTGTTTAACGTTAAACTTATGGTTTATAATTTTCTAAAATCGAATTTCTGTTCATTTTTCACATTTTAAAACGGAATAAAATCCAAAAATCCCATCCAGAATTGAACGACGGTTGGATCGTTAACCAGTTTTGAAGAAGTAATTTTCCAGCTAGTTACATTTAAATAATTAGGCAAAAGTAATTAAGTGAAAGCAGTGCGTAATTGCGCTGAACCATTTTTCCCGGGAATACTTTTCAAATGTTAAATTTGTACAATAATATTATTCATCATAACATACTAATGGCTAGTCACTGTTTTCGCTGAACCATTGGATATCTTATAAATTAAGAAGTATGTATCAGATTTTTACTTTTTAATATTTAAAACTACTACTAGAAAAATAATGAAACGGTATATGATCGTAAAGCATAAATAAAACTGACATATTTAGAGGACACCCTTTATAACGTGTATTTTTCAAGTGGGACGACGCTAATTATCACTTTGAATGTTTATATAATATATATATATATATATATATATTTTTTTAATTAAACAACTTTTTAGTTTTTTCCACGACTAAAACGTAAATAAATTGGACGGCGTACAGGCGGTCGTTGGTTTGACCCTTGAAATTAGACTCCAATTCGGGGGAACATTTTTTGTTGAAATTTTAAAGACTTGATAAATCGTTCGAATCGATACGAAATCAAAATAACCAAGGTGGTTTTTACTTTCACGGGAAATGCACAACTTTAATTGTTGTAGTGGTTTGTATTAAAGTATATATATTATATACCTATTCATTAAGAACAAGACAATCATTTTTTTAAGAATTGCAATCTTTTAGTTTATCTATTTGAAAGCATTTTTGCCTAATATTGTTTGTTATAAAATTAACAAATATTTACCATTTTTAGTGTTTTACAGAGCTCTATCAACTTATTAAATTTAAATGGCAACACATATTTAATAAATCTTGATAAACCTAATTTTTTTTTTTTTTTTGGTGAACATTTTGACTTTATTTTAATCAGTTTTTTATATACTAAAAAGATAAATATTAAGTAATTTTATAATTATTTTCTGCAGTAATATAAATAAACATGTTTTCAAAGAAAAAAAAACTACAAAGTTACAATTATTTTAAGAGAAAATAAGCATACTATAAATGTTATTATAAATTATTATAAATGTTGCGGTTATTTATCACTTTAACAGTTGAAATACTGACGTCACAATACGGTTCGTTAACTTCTTATTTATTTAAGTAATATTTGTATAATGATAATAATAATTATCGCTGAACGTACATATCTCGATAATGTACGTGTTCCATTGGGTTTTTCAGAAAAAAATTAACGGCGATGTCGTTAACGTATTGTCCATAGAAAAGTGAATCCAAACCATATACCTGTGTTGCTTTTTGATAACAATAATTTCTACTCTAATCGTGTTATCTTCCACCATTGTAAAATACAACTACCTCCACTGTCGTTGGTTGTAATTTTATTTAAAATCCGGTCCTTAATTTATTTTAAATTACTTGCGAACAAACCAAGCGGGATTGGCACTAAAACAGCGGTGTCGACCAAATTACATTGTTAAGAAACTTGTCGGTCTTGTTTATCGTTCGTAAAGTGATTAAATAAAAATTAAATACGTGTAATGATATCACACCCCTGATGAATAACTTAATTAAGTTCGACCCAAGCCATTATAATATATTGAACGAATATATTATGTTCATTCGACATTGTCAAGCATTAATAAAAAACTAATATGAATGATAAAGAAAATTCACCATACCTATTTTCATTCAAAAACCTATAACAAAGAAATCAAATGGCTCCTACACTTAATCCACGGCAACATTTTTGTATTTCATTTTTTTGTTACTAGGCATAAGAAAAAGGCATTGGAAATTTTAAAATAAAATTCAGTAGGAATGTTACGTTATGCTCTCGTGGTGATTTTATAACTAAATAAAATACTGAATCTTTAATTGAAAAAAAAAATGCCGTGACTTGGTTGCACGAGATGTTTTCAAAAGATAACTTAACTGTTCTTACTACCTATTAAATAATATAAAAAGAAGTCAGGATCTATGACACAAACATGAGCATTAAATTTAAACAATCATTGTCTATTAAATAAAAGTTTAAAAAAATTATTAAAAATTTAAATTTAAATAAAAACATACATAATGAATACAATTTCATTTTTTTTTTTTGACCGAATAGTAATTTGAAATGCATTTTTATTTTAACGGATATAAAATATAAGAACTAAACAATTATTTGATTTAACTTTCCACTTCAACTCTAAATAATTTTTCATTTAAACAAAATTGTAATTGAAATAGCCGTATAACAGTGGTTTTTTGAAACAATCAAATTAGAAATATGTATTTCAAGTACAAATATTTTATTTAATACGGTAAATGTACATTTTTTTTATGTAAAAAGTTATTTGATGCGATACATAAAAATGTGTTTAAAAAAATTCAATGTTACTATAATTATTATTTGTATTATTAAAATAAAAAAAAAACCCTTGGGTTTGGTATACCATGAAGATGCAGTAAAAAAATATTTTATAATAATAATATTACTCGTTTTCTTTGATGTAACAATTATTTAGGATTATGAACGGAAAAAACGTTTTAATTGCATATTATTATATTGTAGTAGTTATATTAAGTTTTCCTTGCTTAAGAGAAAAGGTTTGATGGCGAAAAAAAATCTTTTATCGAAGCCTGTGGGTATAAAACAAAGACCAGTGATAAACCATGTGAACTGAAAATACAAATTTAGTGTTTTCAAGAAAAAAATAACTGAATAATAAGATACCCCGAATTGAATTGTGGTTCATTTAAAGAACAAAGTGTTTTTTATTCTGATTTTTTTTTTGCGGTACTGATTATTGTAATACCTTTTTTTTTATTTACAAAGCTAAAATATGTAAATGCTATGTCGTGTGTGTATTTTCTGTACGTCTACTTTCTTTTAATTTAGAAAAATAATAATGTGGAATTATCTTTTTGCAGTAGAAGAAAATCTTCTCGCGGATTAGTTTCTCGTCGAACCAGTCATAAAAAAGTCACTGGACTTAATTAATTTAGATAAGAGTAGATATCATTATAAGTTACTGGTGTAACCGGCGAGGCTTTCGGTCATAGCTTATGTCAGTGACTACAAGTTCACGGGCAGTAATGCAGTTTAATTAAGTTGTTGAATAATGCATGCGGGTTACAGAGTAGTATCTCTGATCCCTATTAACAACTTTGTTTGTTTTAGACATTAGTGAAACACGTGAATTACAACAGCGAAGGTACAATAAGTTTAATTATTTAAAACAACTTCATTAGAAAATAACAATAATTACCTAGTGGAAAATACTTTTTTTTTTTTGTAAGAATAAGCCCAGTTATAAAAAAACAGGAGACGGTTTAAAAAAGAACCTCGAAAAGACCTACTATAACTATAAATGATATGTACACATATATGTGTGAAGTCTAACGAGGAAAACTTTGAAAACCTAACAGACATTCTTGACGTACCTCAAAACCAACTGTTTAAAAAATAGGTGCTTCAAAAAGGATTATTTTATATTCTTGGTATCACTAATCACGTAGTCTTGATCTCGGTCAAATAAGTTTCAAATTTAGTTAAAATACATTTTTATTTGTTGAAATTCTATAGTAAATAAAAACATAGTAAAAACATTCAGCGCAGTGTATGACTTTCATATAGGTCTTAAGAAATAAAATAAAAAACGATTTTCACAGTTCTACACTTATCAACTGAATGGTGTCTTATATTTACGTAATATGTACTTATAAAACTTTTCAACTGAAACCAAATTTATAGACTTTCTCCTTTCCTCTGGTAATCTACAATGCAGTTATAACATTATTTTTTACAAAGTTTGACAACTAATTTCTTTTATAAACCATAAACTTGTTTATATTGCCAGGATACAAAAAAAAACCCAGAGAGTTTCATAAATTGGATTTTCTTTTACTTTTTTTTTGTAGTGTTTAGTTATATGAATGTAGTTTTTCGTTTCATTTAAAATATACAATGGAAAAATGCGGAAAACCTACATCCCTAAATCCTAATAAGTATTAAACGATTATTGGTATACCTACAGTTCAAGCTAAAAGAACATTACCTATAATACGATTATTATTACTCAATAACATACAAAATATATGATTTCTGCCTTAATAAATAATTTATAATTGTTGATATAATTTGTAGTTACATTTAAGACTCGGTGAAAAGTTTTACTTATTCGAAATGTTTACTTGTAGTTTTGGATTCTGAAAATTTAATTTAATGTTAGGCTGTTTTGGAGTATTTGTTTTATTTGACGGTTCTTTGGAAGCTCCCGTAAAGTTTCGTCTCGTTACAATTTCATACAAAGTAATAATATTATTGATTTATTTCGATAAATATGTATAGTAATTTGTTTTGTCTTTGTGCGCTACTCGAAGCGTCGAGGAAGTGTTAAGATTAGCGTTTTTGAAAACAAAATTCACGCTTTCGATGAGAACAGCCGATAAGAGATATCAGGTTGAACTTGAGGTCCGAATCCAAAGAAGCCGGAAGGAAGGACACGAGGAGATTGAGTAGTGGAGGGGCGTTTGTAAAATGTAAAAAACATATTATCCGTGTTTCAACGTTTTTTCCCGTGCAGCGGAGCGAATATAAACAACGCGGTAAACCAATGGTTACCGCGGTAAACATACGGACGGGTCGTTTGTTTCGCTGTTTGATTTTTAATTTAAAAAAACCGTAGACGGCCAACCGACAATGAAGGTGAACTATTGCGTCGATTCGGACAGGTCGGCATTGATGGCAAACTTCCAAAATCTCAACTGGACCCTGGTGTCGGAGGACAAGGAATGGAACTTCTACTGGGCCAACACGCAGACGACCCGGGCGCTGTTCAACCCGGGCAACCGGCACCGGCTGAACGACCACCAGATGGTCAACCATTTCCCCAATTCGTGCGAGCTCGGCCGCAAGGACCTGCTGGTGCGCAACCTGAAACGGTACCGGAAGCACCTGCAGCGGTCCGGCGACCGCGTGGGCACCGTGGACTCGCGGACCCGGCTGTTCGTGCACATGGACTTCATACCGGCCTCGTTCGTGTTGCCCGGCGAGTACAGCATGTTCGTGGAGGAGTTCAACAAGACGGGGCCCAGCATGTGGATAATGAAGCCGTCGGGCCGGTGCCGGGGCGCCGGCATATTCCTGATAAACAAACTGGCCAAACTGAGGAAGTGGGCCCGGGAGAGCAAGGAGCCGTACAACCCGAACGCGCCCAGGGAGACGTACGTCGTGTCCAGGTACGTGGAAAGACCGCTGCTGATCGGCGGCCGCAAGTTCGACCTGCGCATCTACGTGCTGGTCACGTCGTTCAGGCCGCTCAAGGCGTACATGTACAAATCCGGGTTCTGCCGGTTCTGCACCGAGAAGTACACCACCGACCTGGACGACATCGACAACGTGCTCGTGCACCTCACCAACGTGTCCGTGCAAAAGACCGGCCGGGAGTACAACTCGGCGACCGGCGGAAAGCTGAGCATACACAACCTGCGACTGCTGTTGGTGGGCACCAGGGGTAAAAAGGTAAACATACAGGACACTGGTTTCCGTACACGTTTATTAGCGGGATGACATTTTGTACGCCAGATCATTAGAAAATGTCCAACAACTACTTAAGGTGACCAGAGGTTGAACGAGCCGATTGTCTTCTCTTAAAATAATTGCAATTTTGTAGTTTTCCTTTTTGGAGTCACTTTATTAGTGCGACAATCAGAAAAAATTCCATTTTTATCATAAATTGTGTCTTTGCGGAGAATTTTAACGACACTTTGGTGGAACAAATATTAATGTCGGACTATTACTTACAAAATGCATTTTGTCTCGCCAATTGTAGTGAATAGGATAATGAATTTTATTTTTATCGTTCTGAACAATCTTAAAATTGGACTTGGTCGGTTGCTGCGCACTCGACCCATAAATTCAGTTACGTGTAGCGAATGCGTCCTATACATTTTGTACTAATATTGGAAGCCAGAAATTGGCTGTTAGAGAAATTTAATCAACTCAAGTTTAATAGGCTATTGAATAGGCTATATGAAAAAAATTTAATTTGTTGAAATGCTATTTATCTTTTATTCTACGATTTTCACTCATTAGTACATATTGTATTTTCGAATTTGATAGATTTTTGATAGTTCTTATTATGTTATTATGTGTAAGTAAACATTCAACGTTAAGAGAATTCAACAATATCACCCACGAAATGGAAATTTACAAAAATTAAATTTTCTTTATTGTTCCAACAAATAGATTTTCCGACGTAGATCGAGGATAATATACAATATCTTTTTACAAAGTAATATATCCCTCGAGATCAATATTCAAGTTTTTTAGTTATAATACTAGTAGTGGGATGGTTCAGTTTTATTAAAAATACTTTGACCGTAAAGAATAATAAAAAAAAATGCTTTAATAGCTTTTTGAAACCTCAACAAACATATTTTACAGAGTTTTTATTATAACATTATATTGTGCATGTGCACACAGCGTGTGTACGCTTTGAAGGTTGTCATTCAATTAAATTTTATAAGCGAAGCTTTAAAATAAAATATTACAACATGTACAACGATTTGTTTTTGATTCGTTAATTTTAAATACCTTTTTTTTTATTAATATTGTTTTTAAACAAAATATATTGTCAAACTAAAATTATATATCAGACAACGGTTATGGTTTGAAAGGACAACTACTTCGTACTACTTTTGTTTATTTGGAATACACTGATACTTGGCTCGAACGTGTTGAGAATAATATGTTACTTAGATTATACCGAATGGGACGAAATGCACGTCAAAAAACTTTTACCACGTTCGACTTTTAATTTATGACGTTTGGCTCGCTGTATAGAACAGGAGTTGTAGCGTTGAGATTTATTTATTGTAACAGGATTTTTGGATCGAATGCGGGTAAGCCGGCAATAACATACACCCGTGCAAAACACGGTTAATGTAGGCGGTTTTAAACGGAAACCAAGTGTACATGTTGTGGTTTTAAAGCGCAGGTGACTGACCATATGTTCGACAAGATAGTGTGGCTCATCGTGCACACGTTGAAATCGGTCAGCACGGTCATCGTCAACGACCGACACTGTTTCGAATGTTACGGGTTCGACATCATCATCGACGACACCCTGAAACCGTGGCTGATCGAGGTGAACACGTCCCCGTCGTTGACGTCGACCACCAACAGCGACCGCGTGCTCAAGACCCGGTTAGTGTCGGACGTGCTATCCGTCGTGCTGCCGCCGGCCGGTTTTCCCAACGCCAACTGGCATAAGAATCCGCCGAAAAGCGCGTACGGTGACTTTGAACTGCTCGTCGACGAGCCACACGCGTTCAACAAACCGAGTAAGAGTGAACGATAATCGAAAAACCAAAACCGTTAACCGTTAATACCGCCTCCGCCGTGTGTACCAAAATGAATTACTATGCGAGTTAATAAGCACGGCAGCTCGAAATTTCCAGTATAAAAATAATTGTCTCGGAAAAATTAAAAAAAAAAAAAGACACCAAGACGTTTTGGTGAAAAACACACTATTTGCGCGTTGTATACGTTTTCGAATTAAATTGACCACCTCTACGTGACGTTCCGTAACGACCGCACGAAAATCGACCTTACCCGTTTTTACTGTGGTCTGTGAAAATGGTTACTTTAACCTCAAAAACGTCTCACCTGTACATACATTGATACCATTTTGTATTAAAAAAAAACTTCACAGCAAGTCGACTGATCACATTCAGTAGATTCATAAAACGCTCGAATTTTTTTTATGAAATAATATATACAATGGTGGTTGACCGGTTCTTCACGTGTGTCATTCATGATGTAGAAATCATGATGGTATATTTTAAATTACAACATTTTTTAATTCCAAAACTACTTCAATAGAACGTATTTACAGTTAAGACTGTATTTTTGGGTCTCCGTTCACGTTTTATCAGGTACTTGACGGATAAAATGCGTAGAACGATTACTAATAAAACATAGCATATTTATTTAGCATCTTGTACATATATGATTCAAATAAGTTGATAAGTACGATTTATAAGGGCTCCGTTCGTTATACAATAGTATAAGTTGTCAGTTCTTTTTACTACAAACAAATCTGATCCATTTAGGTTTTCATCCTGACCTCTATTTGACAAGCTCACTAAAGCTGTGTACAGATCACTTTTCATCTATTACCAATACTTAACACAATCCATTTCTGTTTTACAATGCATTGATAATCTTCATAATAATCTGCTGTCATCAACTCTAAACACGAGTCTCTCCAAAAACATAATAATATCTAGTTATAAACCGACCAACTTTATATTAATATGCTGTTAATTATTCATCTCAGTAGGCTTGTAACGTATTTTTAATATAGATTTTTGGGCAACATTACAGTATTATACATTATGTTCTTGGCTAGTACTTAAAATAATCGTTAAACTGTTACGTTATACAACTTAAAACCAATAAAACTAAAAATGAAAAAACCATCAAAATTGAAAAAAAAAATGGGAATAGGCGTTTCACATAAAAAAAAATAAAAATAAAAATGTAGAGGAAAGCTGTAAACAACATTAAATATAAAAATCTACATTTATGGACTTCAGTAAGAACACCAGTTTGTAGTATCGAAAAACAATACAATAAAAAATCTGGTAAAACATTAAACTGTACTAAGAAAACGGTAATAAAACTTACTAGTTTAATAACGAATTTAGAATTATTATTCTTTGTTTTTTTTAACCCTTATTAGTATAATAATAACAGGGGAAGTCATGTAATCAACAATTCTCCTTCATGGGCGCTGTACAAAAAAAAAAGTATAATAATAACGACGATGCTGAAATTAAATACAAGCGTTTAGCTTCCCTTAAAATTACTTTTAAAAACATGACGTTGTCGGAATAGCTAGTCTGTATTTAATTGATGTTTAAACAAAAAATAGTAATAATAAAGGATTAAAAAAAATGTACATACATTTTTAAATTAAAACCGTGTCAGCTTATTTTCCAAGCCGGATTTCAAAGCAAACCCAATCAGGTTTAATACGCGCAAAATTAATTTTTACACATTAATTAAACGAGTTGGCTCGATCGAAATGCCTTCTAGGATAATTATTTTCATCGTGTGTCTTTCATCCTTTATTAAAACATGGCCTTAGCCGTGAACCCCGAAATTAACTATTAATTAGACGGCAGAAGTAAATTATTCATGATGATATTTTGGATGTACGAGTATACCTACCTCGGACTAACGTGATCGACATAAATCGATAGACGCAACGGTTCGATTCAGTTCAAAGTTATATTATATAATATTATCAAAGTTTACAGTAATTACCGAAACTATTTTCCACCCATAACATTCCAGTGAACGCCCTCAAAGCTCAACATTAACTTTACTCGTAACGATGGGTGTGCATGGTAGCATGGTAGGTTGAGGAGTGGAATTTTTTTTTTTTACTTATGCAACCGCAGGTTTAAGACTCAGGTCTGAAAAAAGTACAAGACCTCTCTTGTACTATTTTCAGACCTGGGCTATACCATGTGCAACTCTGTCGTCAAACAAATGTTTATCATTTATCTCTTATTAGCTGATTCTCTTAGACGATCAATCATAATCGTGTTAACCCTGGTACTAAATTAAATACTAATACTAAATTTTAAACACATTTTTGCCATTAACAATGGTTTTATACTTGAATACTTCGACCACGTCTATAGATTCGTTTATTTGAAAGTGTTTTTATCACTTTCAGTTATAATAATTCATGAAAACGTGGTACTCTACCGCACCGCCGCCACTATGCCCATATTTTTTTTTATTTACTTATTAGACTTCAGACATAATATTCATATATTTGTCACTATATGTATAGTAGATATATTATATATATATTTGCACTATACAATGTGTCTAACTACTGTTTGTTGAACTAATAAAATCGATTATTTCATTAAATTAAATATTATTCAATTAATTTTTATAAATTAATCAATTTACAGATATAATACCTTTGAAAATAAAACGTTAACCGTATAAATATTGGAGTTTTTGATCTATAAATTCACTTTAAACTTCTACAGCATACCTAGTGTACGCATTACGGCGTGTTTGTTTTGGTTTGTGTAGTTTATGGGTTACCCCATAGTGCCATCCAAATAGTAGTGCTTCCGGCATGTCTGTGCGGTTGTACTCGGTAAATATTTAAACGCTTGCGGTATACCAGGTATAACGTGCACCCTGAGTAACTCTGGGTATTTAGTTTAAGCAAGCGGTAAAGTTGTACGATTGTTTTTTTAGACCAAACAAAATATTGTTTTCGGTGACCTCTATACACATTATGATGAGCTCTGAACTCTGAATTCGGTCAATCTGACTGAAGTGTAGCCGGATCGGAGAAACGAGTTAAGAGAAAAGTTTTTGGCCGACGTTATCCGACGTACAACGGTGAATAAAAAATAAGAAAGTATAAATTGATTCGACTTTTCACCGACGCCGTGACGCTGACGAAAATGTATTATACAGATATCTCCCCTTGCACTTTGACGACACCAAAATCTCTCAGGACAGCCGAAAATACGAAATCAATTTCATCGTCGTCGGCCGCATAACTATATACTTATTACGCGAGCTATCGACCTATCTCCCATACATACATAAGTTTACACGTGTATTTCACTTGTAGACACACACACACGTACACACCTGATCTACTGTAAACCTCACGGGGAAATTTCTAGAACCGACAGACTTATCACTACCGCGAAGATAGTTCACCACCAACGCTACACCGACAACAATATAATATAATATAATATACTTCCACCGCGCCAATATAATATTATATAGAAATATATATATATTTTTTTTTTTGCCAATATAATAATAATAATATCCTCCGAGATTCGTGGTTGATTAGTTGATAATAAGAAGAATACCGTCCAGACGAACAACCGCCAGGTGCGAGAGTTTATGGCGTATTATTTCCGTGTACATAAGGGTGTCTCGTTTTCCCATCTTCCCCTCTTTCTGCCTTCGTCGTCGTCGTTAGAAACGGTTTCCCGCACACACGTCCATGGTGGTAACATTACAACATCTGACCATCTTATATTTAATCTTGCACATTTATCGCCATTACCGAACTCACGGCCTCTCTTTTGTCCATTCGCGTTCACTTATCCAACCACTTAACGACGTGCCCGTTTCCTGTGCACGCTTTTCCGTGCATTTTGTCTTGTCTGCAACGCGGTCGACCATATTATTATCCTGTGGGTCCAATCGGTATCCTTTCATCGCACAAAATCCTTCTGTCTAATGTTTCACGTCTCACACTAAAGTCGGCAAATTTGTTTGAACCGACGATTTTCGTGGCATGTGATCGTGACGGTTACATCTTTAAACTTCTCCTGAATAATAGATAGGCACTCTTCGTAGTTTGTTTTAATGCCACAGACCGCCGCTATATACTCCACTAACCCGTATGTATCTAAATTAATTACTCTACAACGTTTGTAAAGATAAGGCGGCACTTTAAAACCTATGTACTCTGAAACCAGACGAAAGCTCAAAGCCGAACCATCGCACAAACCTCTAGTCCTGCCTTAAAATATTTTGTCTCTACACGCATAACCGTTTGTATCATCGACCATTCTGCATTCATTATGTATTGGTTCACTGAAGATTGTACTTAAAACCCACTGGCTTTAATATTAAATGGATCTTTACCACGAGCACCGTTTTGCCGCTTTCTCTATTTAAAGTTATGGCCAAATAGAGAAGACTCTGTGTTTTAATAAATATTTTCAAAGCTGATTTATTTAATTAATACAACGAGGCTTCTACAAAAAATGGCTTAAATCATTTCGCGAACAGAATTTAGTAGGGAGACTTTGTCAAAATAAATTATAAATAATCATACATTTTCCGTACAATAAATATACGTTCTTATTGAGGTTATCTTAGTAACTCAGTCGGAACATTTTTACTTAAATGTAAAACCGAGAAATAAGTTTGGGTTATTATGAACATCAACATTTTCTAGAAGAATGTACGGTAAATATCAGTCTCCGTTTTAAAGCTTAAGATACTTGAGACAATCGTTCCGTGTATTGATTTAATAAGTTTTATTAAATACATTTTTTTTAAACAAAAAGAAAATGGTTGAAGTATGATTTTCAAATAATTCATAAATGTATTTTATCACACAGATATCGTGTAAATAAACGAAAGGAAGATAAAGAAAATAAGTGTAATGTTAATTTTTTTTGTATTGACAATAAAAATTAATTTTTAATGTAACTAATTACATAAAATTGAATCGGGCACATGATCGGTGGACATTATAATATGACAGTGCGTTATAATAAAAACCTTTAGAAAGTGTACAAAGAGAAGGAAACATTAACTATTTTCTTCGATTTAGGATTCTATTGCTCTGTACTGATAAATAATATAATTCACAGGTATAATAATTTATTTGCTCTGTAGACGTTGTCATTGTATACAATGTACCCTAATCAATTCACATCTAGCTGTGAATTGGATTTCCCCTCGATATAATTCAAATTTCACCATTAATATTGGTAATGGAGAGTTTTAAGTACAAACGCATTAAATAATGTAAGCGATGTTGAGACACTTAGTAGGTAAGAAACGGCTCATAATAATAATGTATGTAAATTATTTAGATAAAACCGTTCGATTAAAATAACCTAACAAGCATTTAAAATTGAAAACATTTTGCGAATTGTATTTATGTTGGTTTTTTTGTGTACTTACAATACGTCTCTTCAATTAGTTTGTCGATCGTATCTTGCTTCAGTTTCGAATTCCGTTTGCCCATTCTAACTATAATTACAATTTAATTGCACCGAAAACCTTCTAACATCTGCGACGCACTAGGATGTATACCTTCAGTCCTGTATAGCACAACAAAACAACGAACAATTAATCTTTGACAATTCATATTTTTTTTACATCAAGGAATTATTGTTTATAATTTGTTCTTTTTTTAAACAAATCTTTTTTAAAACTTTAGATAGGCCCATAGAAGTCGTTTGCTAATTGTTCAACTGTTGCCAATGCAACCAACCGGAAAGGAAAAAATTAAACATTTATCCGTTTGAAATCATTTGTTGGGCATTTACATGTGTATACAATGTTCAATAATAGATATGTAAATATATATCTACACATAACGGTAACTGTACTGCGTTTACTTATACAATTAATATATTATACAACTTATACAACTTTAGAAACTACCAGCATTAATTGAGCGTTCATAGCAAACAATTAGATAGTTTTCTATAATTATAAATGTCATAGCATGCCAGTTTGTATTGTTCTATTTCTAACACACTATAAAATACAACGTTTACCCACAGGGTAACATAAACACCCGTTCTAAATTTAATTGAGGATACCACTCAATTATTGTTCTGTAGCACATTACATAATATTATTCACGTCTTACATTGCTTAGCTACTATAAAAAGTTTGCCAACGATATGTGTGTCGTTAAGGTTAATGTTAGAAGTTGTTTTCATACGGAAAATAATAATAATTTCAAGCGAGCGACGGAGATTAACGAAATAAACCTATTCAAAACCGATTTTACATCATGACAATATTTATGGATCACATTAAAAAACGATAACGCTCGTTGAATCATTTTCCCACATTCTGGTGGTGTACCTAATAATAATTTTATGCTCGTTATAAAATATGTTACTTTATAATGGCTTTGAATTCGAGGCAAACATTTTCAATACTTCTATATTATAAAAATGTTACATTTGCATAGTAAATAAGTAATAGTTTGTGTACAGCTCGGGTCCCTCGGGTTCATTAGTCGGGTCGTTAGTCGTTGTCGCATGATATTTATGTTGTATATATGCAAAGATTAAGAGTCTAAACTTAAATTTCAAAATAAGAAGCACTCCCTTGTACTTAACAATAGGAAATGGAATAATAATTTATAAATAATAAATCAGCAACAGGCTTATATTATTGTTGAATATGATTAAACGTTTCTGTGAGACAAATAGTCGGCATAAAAAAGTATTTTTAAAAGATACTCAAGTTGTTTATCGTTTTTTCATTTTTTATTTGATAAATCTTTGATGCATCAGTGTATACTTCTAAGTACGTTCTCGGGTCGAGTTTTAGCATGAAAAAATAAAATTGGTAAGATCACCACTTTGTAATAATTACAATTAAATCTAGGATCATAAATGGAAAATTAGATTTTCGTTTTAACACATTATTAATGTCACATTAAAAACGTTATTTCCCACCATGTATGATATTATTGATGCAAAAAAGTAGACTTTACAAGTATTTCTGACTAAACATTTAGCTAAGTTAACTAAATACTCAGTTGAGTTTTATATTGGTTTATTATATTTGTATATATTTCTGTGAGTTTCAATACTTCCATTTTAAGCCTTTAAACCCACAATAATATGTTGTCGACAACTAATAGGGAACGGGACCGATAAATTGTGTGATTCAATAAGAACTACATTTTTGCCTTTTGATAAATCAAAGTACGGTACTTTTTTTACTTAAATATTTTTTAAAACATAACGTAAACGTTTTAACAAAAGAAATCTCGATCGTTTTTCCAAAAAAAATAACACATTTCGCACGAGTTGTGTTGTGTTCTTAACTAAATAGTTAAATTAATTTCACCTAGGTATATTCTGATTTCGCCAGCGCAAGACGGATTTTAAACCCGATAATTTGTTTTTTTCTTGTGGCATTGTATGGACCTTGTTATTTTTTAGGGTTAACTCGAAAACTAAGGGCGACCAAAAAAAAAATTTGTTTGACCGTCGTAAATTGTTATAATTCAAAGTGATAAGTTTAGTTAGAAAACTCCCACCCCCCTCCCCTAGTTAAGCCTGTGTTTATCGTGTACCGGATATCTGCAGCATCTTGGATGTCGCACAATAACGTGTGTACTTAATGCGATGGGAACGGTCGTGTGACGTTGGCAATATAATATATTAGTATTATTACGGTCTGCACTCTACGGATTTCGGACGGGTTTAAATAGAGACGGTGGTTGCATCGCCTACGACTATCAGGGGACTCGGTTTAATCGCTTTCAAAGAGTTCAACCACACGAGTTCTCGAAGGGGCAGACAATGTTCATCTTGGTCAGAATGACTAGCTCGCTCCGGATAAGACAATAAACCGTAATGTTACTTACACAGAACTGCACAGTTACTTTTGAAACGCGTAACGCTATTATGATAATGCATAATATTGCTGGTGTAATAGCTTTTGGTCCGTTGCAACGGTAATTGAGCACGGTGTATACGGTTTTTAACGAGTTAATATATTATAATAATGAGCTATAAACAATGTTAAATGCAATGCTGAACATATTATTTACATATCAAATGGGTCTGCCAACGAACGGGGAAAATGTAAACGCGACGTTAAAAAATTGAATTTAAGAAATTTCAGAAGTTTAATTTTTTAATTTATGAGATGTTACACAAATATTACAATAAAACAAACATCAACATGTTGTACAAACATTGCTGGTTTTTTCTACGCAAATATTGTGTTTACATGTTGTCCCATTCGCTTGCGTTTTGCCCCTCTCGAGCAATTCAGTTAAATTTTGTAATTGCATCCATAATAACTTAACTTGTAGCAAAACTATACGGTTCAATTACAATGTCATCTCCAATCAGTTTGCTGCGTTCCAGAATACCGGGTTTTAAAGTTATCTCACAAATGTTCACTAATAAGCTCCAACAAACTTCTGACAGAGGTGAGCTTGGGGAGATAGTCTAATATTAGTTGGGAGGTAGGTGATATTTACCCCCCAAAAAAAAAAAAAAAGGCTAAAAACTAATCGTACTCAACTCTAGAGACGGCGCATCAAAGTTGAATTTTAAAAATCGCAATCCTATGTGGGCTGTAATAAAGTCTTCTTCGTTCAAAATGAAACAAAAACGTCTATAAAAAAACGATTATTCTACGAGACGTAATCACTTTTCTTGAAAGGCTTGTAAAGTACTTAAATAATATACAAGTTAATGCAAAAATATATAACAACCCGTTAGCTAATATCGTAAGCCTGACTTTCAGACGAAATTAGCTTTATTTTTTTTATGAAATAAATTAAAATGTAAATCAATAAATGTAATTTATGGATATGAGGTAAAAAAATATAATTGGAAAACGAAATTGTGTATATTTTTCTAACAAGGCAGATAAATATTCAAAAAAAGGAGTATTTTCGAAATCGGTTATTTTGCCTACATATATTATTTTTTATCGCATGGGTATTTAGCTCATTTGTTCAAGGGAATGGGTCAACAAATCCAAAATAATGGGAAAACACAAAAAGAGTTTTTCTGCTACACACAAATGTGTTAAAAATTGGAAAAATGCGGAAACCCTTTCTTTTTTCATTATATAAACATACAATATTTGTTTTCAGAGTTTTAGGTACTAAAACTCAGCCTACAGCTGCCGGACCTATTTTCATTCCTAAATAAATTATAAAAGACACGGTGGAACCGAAAAGTAAAATATTTTCAACAAATCAAAAATGGTTCATTTATTATAATACAACACACCATCGAACAAATAATAAAGTAAATAAACTGATTATAGAGAACTTTACAATGGAAACATTTAACTATAATTGTATCTAATTGTACCATATACGGTTTTATACTCGACTTATCGACTCATTTGTAAATAAACTTTATTTTCAAAAAGCACGTTTTATTTAAGCGCGTCGACTTGTTCTTTTTGATATAACAGTTGGTTCAACTAAAATTTTGGTTAATATAGGAGCACAATAAAATTCTAATAATTGGAATGACTAAATAAATAGTTGGCCCAACATTTAATTAGCTGAACTAAATGTATAGTTGCTTAGCCAACTAAAAACTTAGTTGGCCCAACTATTAATTTAGTTATTCTAACTAGAAATTTACTGTGTCCCTATAATAACCATAATTTTAGTTGGACCAAATATGTATTTTTTTTTCTGTAAATGTAATGAACAAACTTTTTCGTCTAAATCTACCAAAATGATTTGCGTTTCATTTTCGTACGAACGCTGTCTTGTCGTTATTCCTATTAAGCGTTTCACTTATGTAATATGAAATTATTTATTGAAAATGTATTACCTTTTGCGGTGTAAACGGTTTTTGCTTGCCCGGTAAACACCAGTTGCTCGTGGTTGCGCGAAAGGTTGAAACTGAAAATCAACGAAAAATATTAACAAAAAAAAAGAAGGAAAATGCACAACTTTTTTTTTGGAATAAAAAAAAATACACAAAAATCGGTTAACCGATTGTAAATTTTTCTTTTTTCAAATTAAAAACCGCAAGTTCAACCCGAATAACGTGAGAAACGGCCCGGCGTGAATGACCACAAAGCGTGACCAGAGTTTTCGACTACACTGGAGCCGACTACCACCCGCCAAAAGTATACAGTTGTAGTGCCCTGTGCTTTAAGCGACGTCGGCGCAAAGTGCACACACACCGGAGTCGTCGGGCGCGTGCAATACTTATATAATCATAATAATATATTCCTGTCTACGATGTGCGGGTAACATGCGATTCCCGTGCTTATCAAACAATAACGGTTAACATTCCCATATATCGGTACTCCAAAGTGGAATGTCCCGTTCTAGATCTACTTTCAGTCCTAAAAAAAGTGAAATAAACAAACAATTTTCAAGGGATCAGGTTTATGACACTATTTTGGTTTACAAGTACAACAAAAAAAATCTAAGTTTTGTGTCTTTTGTGTTTTGTATTTCAGTAAGTATGACCATAACACTAGAGTCCATACAAAACCGTTTTGTGATATTTGCGAAACTGTTCTTCGTAACGGAAATGTAATTTTAATCGCGACAGATGCCGTTTACTTCTCTCGTGTAGAATAGAATTCATATTTCATCATTTAGTAATGTGCTGAAAATTTTGCAGTCAACAACTTTATAATAATATACAAGTAAAACGCGGCCTAAATGATGAAAAGTATTTTTTTTTCCATAGGTATTACAGTACCTTCAGAAAAACTGAAAACATGATTAAGTTTTGCCGGATACAGTATGTTTACTAAGTCATTATGTTGTTTAGCAAACTTACAATCTTTTACCGAAAATGCCAAAGAAAAAATGAAATAAAAGAAGCTCCAGGCATCGGTAAATCCTTTTTGAGATGTGAAAACAATGTTTTTTTTCCTTTAATCTCTAAAAATAAGTCCAATCTGAAAAAATAAACGTTTTCTTTGAATGCGTTTCCCGCGTTGACATCTTAAGTGTTGAATAATACAATTCTTTTTAACCCTGAAGGCTTAAGAAAAGTTATGACTTATAACAAAGCGAGCGCAATGGGGCGTGTCATATTGGGATGGGGGACGTCACAGGTCGTATGTGTTGTAGCTCGTTCTTGAGTTTAATTTTCTAGAAAATGTGAATTAAAGAAAAAGTTTCCGCCTCTTCTGTGAGAAAAAAAGAGTTTTTTTATATTTTTTTGAGATTTCTGAACGTTTATCGATAATACCTACTATAACGTCTTATAATATCTAAAAAGTATCCCATACAAGATTGGAAATTCGTCTATTTTGAAGAAAAAAAAGTAATAGCACAGGAAAAGGAGTGACAATTTTGCGCCCAATAAGGCTTTGTACCTTCGAGATACGATTTCTGATCTATAGACTATACTATAATCGGTTCAGCGGTTTGGAAGACAATATTGTACGATTTGGACACAATACCTTCTCAGTTCCGTGTCGAAGGTAAAAAGTAGGTATTATTATTTTTATATACCACTCAGCAGAAAGTCTAAGTGTAATAAATAATAAAAACACACACCAGCAGTATGATATAATATTATGTATATTATACGAGGTACCCGGAGCCGGAGCATCGGCAGCGCAGTTTGTGAATACCGCCCTTGCAGGTGAAATTGAATTACGTCCGATCTTTAATAGTTGGTATGCATTTAGTGTGTTTCGGGCGAAATCAAATTACCGGAAGGGCAATTTCCAAAAACAACTCATACCGAGGCTTGTACCTGACCGGTGTACGTGACGGTCATTTCGCATATTATAAACCTAAGTACGTCCAAAAAACGAACGCGCGTCATTTTTGAAATACCAACGGGAAAAAAACAAAGCGTTCATATTTTCTTTAAATAATTACAATTATGTGTAGTTTATCTCTTTGGAGACACTTTAGGTTTATGTAATTTTACAAATATTTAAATTTGTATCTTTTTTTTATTTCCTTACAACTTAAATGGTAACGTATCGATCGAATTAAACTTAATTTGCCAAAATTTTTGACTGGTCGATCATCAGTTTTGGATAATATTTTTTTAAAGGTTACTTAAGTTTAAAATTTAGAATGGGAGGTGAAGCGTAGTGGAGTAATGCGCACAAATGATACCACACTCAACTCTTTCTCACGTCCTGAGCTTTAAACTTTAATAACTTCAAAAGTAATCCAATAGTTACCCAAAACTGGTTATCGACCGTTCAAAATTTTCCCAAAACTATTATGTACATAATTTCAAAAATTACTAAATCAAATATTATATAGGTACGTTATCGTTTGAGTTTGTGAATTCTCTCTGGAAAATACCGATAAAGGTACCTAAACGTTTACAAAAAGAAAAACCGCCTGCAATAATTTCACGAATAAATCACCTTGTATACAGGGTGATTTTCACATACAACGTGTTTTAAGTAAAACAATGAAGCACGTTGTGCGGTCAAACGTTTGGGAAACCAAGCGCGGATATAATTTCAAAAACACACGGGTAGGCCGTTTTGGCCGAGTTCAGGATCAAATTTACTTGGCATGCGAGATTACACACTCTTGCTGTATTATTAAACTTTTGTTCGCAAACGAAAACCCGTCGAACATTTTTACCGCTTTGGGAATTCGGCAATTCACAAACATACCGAAACAGCAGCTCCCAACTGGATCATTGAAATATCATTATGCTCAAATGCATGTTATAGTACCAACAATATATTAATATCATATGCGTATTGAGTCCGGTTGAATTTGTGCGCAAGCATTGTTTTTTTTTATGTCGACGAATAGCCGTAAAGGTATTTGTTTATATTATTATGTTGTGTTTAGACCAACAATATATTTTAAATCGTTGGACTGTTGTTAAGTCTTGTGGCAAGCCAATCTCAAGCGGGCGATTGGCTATGACAATATCTCAAAAGATATAAGACATTTAAAAATTATTCTTATTTCGTATACTTTTAAAGTCAATATAGTCTGCTCAGTTTGAATATATTTTCCAGTAACCTCATCCCTTATGTTTGAAATCCTCATGAATCTTGTAGGCTTTTTAAATATGGTGACGTATTTTTAATTAAAAATTCACTGAAAATGTAAACTGGTCGATAACTCGTTTTGAGTAATTACTTTGCAGATTATAAGTCAGGACATAACTTATTGAAAAATAGTCAATTACTCCATAACTTGTGTGGCATGTTCTTTAGACATAGAACAATTTTATACAGTGAAAACTGTAAAAAAAAAATGCAAAGTGATTTTTGTTGTTAGTTAATTTTTTTTATCAAATTTAGATACAGCGTGAACAAGTAACTGGATTTTTGTAATTTAGTTTTTTTTTTTTGAAACTATATTTGTTATTAATTGTTGTTTACATTATTACACATTTTCCAATCGACCAGTTTACGTTTAAAGTAGATTATTTTTATCTTAAGCATAATAAATAATAAATAGATGACAAACGTGAAACACAATTAAGTCTTTTTTGTGTGTTAAAACCATAGACAAATTTTTTGCAGCAGAACAAATTGATTTTATTGTTCCTTAGTGTTATTATTACATCGGTCTAGTCGATGAACAACATTTAGGGCAAAAAGTCACCACCACAGTCTATGAGAAATTTAGTTTATTTTACAGTTCCTCTCATTTTGGAAATAAGGATTTATTGAGATGTATAGGTACTAGGTAGTCTAACGTTTGGAATCTCAAGGGAGATATTCACTTCTAATGGATCGAATGTCGAAACATTATTTTGCAAAGCATCACCAGTAAATAAAGTGTTTATAACAGTGAACCGAGCAGTGTGGAATAAATAAAATGTATACGTTACATATATAATAATATACGTTTATAGAAAAAAGTTATGTTTAATACTGTTTAACAAAAAATACTATTTGTGGATAGAGAAGAAAGTTTTTACATTTTACAAACGTTATAATTTTTGTTACTCAATATGTATTCATTTGGATAACCCAAGCTTATATCTGGATAATATTGTATGATAATATTATGTGATTCATAAATGTCTTTTGCACACAAAAAACCCAACGGAAATATTAGAAAATGCTACATAAACTCCAAACCAAATAACAATAATGTAAAAAACTTAACGCGTAGAGTAAAAAAGCAAAGATATTGATTCAAACCCTAAATTCAATGTTCCTTTATGTGAGAAACAAATAATACTAAAAAAATGTGACCTATATAATATTACTATTTCAGATTACCATAGGAAATAACAATATTTTAACATATAAAACCAATTTTTTTGTTTTCAATAGACCTATCTTATTGTGTAATTATCTTTACATAACTACTAAAGTCTAATAATTTATGTTAAACTATGTTGTCAGCGTTCATTGTGTCATTCGCCGCAGACTCAATTCGCGGAACCTAGACTTATACTTCGAGACTGAAATCGAAGGTAAAACGGATATGATTAAACTACTTAACGGAAGTTACACGACGACGGGAGGAAACAAAAGTGCGTTTAAACATGTTATTGAAAAAACGCTAGTCGAATTCGTCGGAACTCCATGTAATAATTATTTTGACTGACCATTGTGTACATTTTTGGAGTTATGTCGTTTGCTAGAAACGCTAAAGACGCATCTTATTATACAAAATGGTCATAACGAATAAATAATTAAAAAAAAAAAAAACTGGATCAACTATTGACAAAGATATTTCAAAAACTGTACACATTCTCGAATTCGATATTGCGTTGCTGGCTCCAAATTAACACACAACGTGACGGAGTTGTGTTGATTTTTATAACATTTTATTTTTCTGATTACTGTTATACTGTTTGCCAGAGGTGGTCGTTAGGATGGCCGGTTCCAAATCTAGGGTGTCATTTATAGTATTAGTCAACAACCAAATTTCGGGATCTAACTCCAAGCTCTTCTTGTGGAACCCCATATATTGTCTTTGACCGTCGGCACTTATTCGAACTTAAATGTTATTTAAGCAAAACTTATTGGCAAATAGTTGGCCATTTCTCACCCACCACGAAAATCTCCTTAAATTATTCTTTTAGATAAATGTAATTTACAACGCATTATTTTAACATTGAAACTATAATTCGTTGCTTTCTTTATGTACGATTAACTTTTTTTCTTCCCCCGGAAATGTATGTAAAATACGAATGAGTAGTGATGGCGGCTCGATTGTTGTCGCCGTACGTTAAATAAATAATAACAAAACAAGTTTAATACCAGAATATAAATCAATTTTATATAAAAAAAAAAACCTACTAAAATTTGTATATCGACCAACTGCATTTTCCGTAAACAATATATTATATATTCTGTTAAAGCAACAAAAAAAAAATACTGTTCATTTTGCTTATGAATCATGCATAGTATGTACTCATCTAAAACAAACTAAAAAGCCTATAAATCGAATTGGGTTTTTTTGAAACTAATTTCGATTTAATAATTATACACACAAAAACAAAATAAAAAGTTAAACCACGCTTGTGCGTTTTTGTATTAGCTGTATATTTTTCCATCTAGATGTAGTTTGTTTAAAATACAAAAAAAAAAGTCGGGGGACTAATAATTGATTGTATAATTTATTAAAAACAATCCATTTAGATTTTAATATTAACGAGTGTGCACTGGCTCAGTTTGTATTCGCGTCGTTTGATACATATTTTTTATACATATATACATTTTATACTATACATACCTAACCCCCATTGCTTAGTCGCACAAATCCCGCATTAAAGGGGGTTGATTATCTGATTAAAACGTTAAATAAATTATTGTTTTTAATAAAAACACTTACTTTTCACAAATACCCCGCTTTACTCGTGTTTATTTGTTTTTTCTTTATTTGGATTTCTTCATTTAATCTCTGTGCGTGCGTGACTGTAAATTACCGCTAAGTAACATTCTAAAGAATAATATTATAATAAAAAATCACATTAGGTTGACCTAATTTTTTTCCGCAACAGTGTTATGACCTGATTTTGCGTCTAATTGTTATTTATTTATTTTTATTTTATTTTCCTTAGTGTTTTGTGTGATAAAATAATACAGTATCTTAGAATGCTACGAACCAGTTGTCAATTATTAAAAATATTAATAATAATATTATGGTTAAAACCGGCTGTTAAATCTGGGACGTAGTAGCTTATTTTTTAATAATGATGTTATAGAACAATATATAGTTCCATAATAAATAAACATATTTCAAAAACAAATTAAAACAATTATTGTAAAAAAATACCCTCTCGCCTTAGCATCCAAGCTAATAGCATTTTTGAAGTTTTTGTGCTTTTTATAATAAGATAACATTTTTGTTTTAATTTTTTTTTGAAAGACTCCATTCCCAAGGCTATAACAATATATTATCGTTAAGATGACGTTATACCATCTTATACACTCCTACAGTTTCAATATTTTATTTAATATTGATTTTTTTTCTTTAAAAAGCTTAAATGTATTTGTCTAGTGCTACGATTTTGGAATTTTATTTTTCAATTATTTAGAGGCTAAACTCAGTTAAAATTTGTCGAAAATATTATTTTACTTTAAATGGATATTAAGTCGGTACCACGCTATGTGTTGCCTCGTGTTTTGCCTTTTATCGAAACATGGAAACAAATTGTAAACAACTTAATTTTGCAATACATTAAGTTGCTAAGGGTTGCCACTTACAATTAGTGTGGACGGTGCTTAACTACTTTTTACGCTTCTGGTCCATTCAGCGCATATGCAACTTCGGTTGCATTCATACTTTTTAAGGGACTACTTTGGTGACAAAGTCATCTTACCTTTGTTACTTTAGAAACAATTATATTCAACGTTTTTAAGCTTTGTTTTATTAAATATAACAATTCAGATAATACAGAAACAATATGAGTGTTGACAAAAATATAATAATTGTGGACTATTACTATGTGAGTGCATAAAACATTAAACAAAAAATTGTTAGAGTATCGTTAACTTGAACTTCCCGAAGGAGCATCTCTCAATTCTTTGAGATCTTTTTCAATTTTACTTTCTATTAAGGCTTGTATATAAATATCACCAATTGCAACAGCAATGTTTTTATCAAACGTCCCGTCCTCATTAGCTAGAGGTGCGAAACTACGGTATTGTGCATGTCTGGAAAATATTTCAAAATTTGTAAGTATAATACATGATGACAAAGCAAAATAATGACAACTATTTTAAAAGAAGGGTTTACTGATGTCATTCTATTTCTATAATAATCAGGCCCGGCTCAAGTGTTTAAACACATCTAGACAAACTCAAGTTCTGCCGCGCCGCCAAACTTTTTTTTAAGCGAAATATTTTTTACGTCTAATATTTGTTTGTATAAAAAAAAAATAACAAAATAAGCAAATTCTGTGTACATTATATTTATTTATAAATAGTGTGCAATTGGTTAGACATATTATTTAGTACTTATAAATACATTTATCGACTAGTAGACTTCACTAGCATGTACAAGGAAATATGCAATATAATTCCCAATTCCTTCTCGATTGAAATCATTGCAAGACCCACGATAAACGACCTTGTGACATTTGAGATCGCAGATAATTCCTAAATGCTTCTCGGCGCTGTGGCCGCCGTCACGGGAAGTTTTAAGAGGATTCTTAAGGCGATAAAAGTATTGGGAAACAGTTCAACTAACTGTTTTTTGCAAATATATTCTGCAAAACAAATTGGGGATCTTTGCAAAGCTATCGTGTAATTCGACTGAATCAATGGCAGAAGTTAAACCATTGTCCGATGTACCAAAGTGTAATTTGTAGATCTTAAAAGTAAGTCGTAAGTTCATCAGTACTTTGTATTTGAGAAATGTCATAAAGAAATGATAACAAGTCTGCATGCTCAGAAAGTTGTTCAAATCATTCGTTACTTTATTGTACGGCTCTATATCTAAAACTGCACTAACTTTAAAGTTTTGTCTTTTACACTAATGAAGACGGATCACGAATACAACCTCTCTCCCCATCCTCTCAATAGACCTCGACGGCTATCGGTCGGCGGTCGACCAATAAAATAATAATAAAAACATCAGATGTCTTTAATTTTAAAAGTATTCCTAAAATAAATCAAAAAAATATGATACCAAACTATAAACGACTTCAACGCGATAATTATTGCAAACAACGTCCCTAATTGTGACAGATCAGTTACCACAGAATAACGATTACAGTACATTATAAAAAACACTAAGCGAGTAATAATAAAAAAATATGTATGTACTTACTCTGGGGTCATAGTTGCAATACGCCTGCCCCCTAAAGTAAGAAAATACATACCGAATATTAAGTTTGTACTTTACAACATGGCTTGTTTGCATATCATAAATTTATGCCCAATTTTTTAAAGTTCAACATTAATTAAAATAATCTAGTGTTATAAGTTAATCGCTTTACCAAATCTAAGTAAAAATCATACAGATTGTCAGAATTGTGGTTGATTGGGTGGATTATGCAACAAAATTATAGATATACCTCTAAATGTATACATATATTACATCATACATAATTAATGTACATTTTAATAAAGGTAATTGTGCCCACTGTCCAGTGTTCACGCACATAAGAATCACATGTTAATGCGCTCTTACGAAAAGTTCTTACCACACTCTTATTCGATTTAAGATGTCAATTTAAAGAAACAAGTTAACTAAAATTGACTAACTAAAAAGGTATTTTATAAAATAAATAGTTGTATAGTAAAAACACATACTTGCTAGATTCAAATTACTTTCTGGAAAAAAAAATATATATATACTGTTATTGTAAAGCAGTAAATACAATGCTATGTTCGTAACATAATATAAGAAAACTGCATACCATCCCCAGTTTTACCGTTATACTTGATAGGATACGCATTTGCTAAAAAAAAATATACAAGTTTAATACAAAAAGTCAATTTTTCATTTATTTATTAGTGATAATTTTTGAAACTAAATATCACAAATATGTAATTAATAGGAAACGTATTGCTAATTGTGATGAGAATTCAAAAATCCGAATTTTGACAAAAAAACGCAATTTTAAAATAGAATAAATACTTTATTTTAATACAATAACGATAAATTGCTCTTGGATTTCATTAAATCCAAAAATAATTTCTTTTCGGTTTTATGTTTTTTTTTTTTTAATTTTCATCAAAAACATTTTACTTGGTTACGCTGTTTTATATTGTCTAAATGTTTATTACATTTTTAAAAGGCTAAAATTTCGTTTTTTTGTGAAAATCCCGAATTTTAAATTCCGGTTTGTAATTGATAGAAAATCGTTTTTAACGAATGAAATGCATTATAATTTAATAATTAAGTTACGAAAAACTCATACAAAATATTACACTTTTAAGGCTGTGTGATATTGAAATTACTATAGATTACAAATAATAGTTATTTATTTTTAAATAATTACGTTGTTCGAAAAAAACAACAATGTCATCCTTAACTGGTCCTGGCCGTACGGCGTTACAAACGTTTGTACCTGTAAATTAATTAACCACATTATGCGACATTCAATTATAATAAGCAAACAGTATCTTTTACTGCTATGTTAATTCACGTAATAATAATAAAAAAAAAGTATATATAATGCTTATTACCCGAAAATACCGACAGTACGCACAAAACGAGAACAAAGTCAGTTGGTGTCATCGTGTCAGATTTGAAGTGGAACTGCAAAGCGCCTGACCCAGGAGAAACCGAGTGCTCTAGTGACAGTTTTAGCAGATATGTCTTGTAGCGTTGTCTACCGGGTTACCGAGGTTACCGTAAATATGATTAAATACTTGGAGTCTGAAGGTTGGCGTCAAGTATGAGCAAGTATGGTTACTGCTTGTGGCACGGCAAATGGATTCGTCGTATCCAGAAATAGGCACATTAACAAGCTGAACCGTGATCTATAAGGTCTCAGAACACCTGTTGTTAGTTAAAATTTGGCCATATTGACCTAAAAAAAAATAACAAAACGCAAAAACAACTTAATAAATTATTGTTCAACGTATTTACATACCTCCTACACTATGCATGTAAGATAAAATGCGTTGTACAAAAACCACGCTTATAAGTACAATAATTCCTATAAAATACAATATATTGTTTACCCGTCGATATATATTTTTTTTTTTGGGTGCTGTTTTTACGCAAGCCGCGTTGTTTTTAAACAATTATTGTAGTTTTGTCTTTTTTTTTTTGTAAATAATTTTGTTGGTTATTATTACAACAGTTTCTGCGGTACATTTTCCAAATGAATTTGTCAAAATACATACATCCAAAAAAAAATAAATATAAAATATTTAAAATCCATAATTTTTATACTATAATATACTAATATAATATATACTATAATCCAGTATATTTGAAGGGTACAGGGAAAAAACCAGCAGTCACTTTTTTCTTATATAAGAAAAACATGTTTAAACCTAAGTAATGCTAAAATATGTTTTGAAATGTTAAAGAAATACTTTAAACTTTTAAAAATATTGTATATTTTTGTTTATAATCGTGCTTAAAAGTAAAGAACAGATTAGTTTTGTATCAAAACGAATTGTATAACAAAAAATTGCCAATTTTAAAAAGTGACTTTGCTGGTTTTTTCCCTGTACCCTTTAAAAAAAAAATTGTTATAAAAAAAAATTGAAATAAAATACGTCAATCATAAAAAATATAGTTATGATCCGATCATTTTTCGGTTAAAACGTGTTAACGTTTACATTTATGAAATTTGGGAAAACTTTCTTTATTTCATAAAAATAGCATTTATATATTTTGTTAATTGCATGGTACTTACTTTGATAGTAGATGTGTCAACTTGTTTCTTGTAATTCTACATACTGGTTAATACTATGCTGGATTATTACTATTCGCATTTCGGATCGAAGCGTTTTGATGAATTTCAATTTAATTATTGCTTTGACCCTACTTTGCTAACTCTTTAAAAAAAACACGTAGCCTCTGCAAGTACAAACACAGACAACAGACACTCAGAAATCAGCAACGCTTCGTCATTGGCTTACTACTTTTTTTATGCCAGAAAGAAAAGTTTGTTGTAGGTGATTATTCAAAAATTATGTCTCAACATTTGCATTGTTTCAGACCTTTGTAGTTTTCTTTTTAGTTAAGAGGCTTTCTTTAAAATTTTCCCGAGGGGGTTTATAATTATTCATAAACAATGCCAACAAGTTCTAAATCCCAAGAAAGCGTCGCGACGTTCATAACATAAATAACAAAGTTATTAATTTTTCAGTTTTAACCCTACTCGTTTACCGTTGCTGTTTATCGTTTCAAAACGCAGCTCGAAATGGGAAAATGTAATTAATATTTTATCAGAAAATTTCCCAATCGTTTCCCATATAACGTAGTTAACTGCCTGATGATAATATTTTCAGATATACGTTGACTGTTGATGAAGGGGTGAGCTTTTTACATCTTTGGTCGAATAAGTTACCTTTCGGGTATTATATCTAAATTGTCAATGATGAAATCGGTTCATATTCCAGACATAAAAAAAAAATTCGTTAGATTTTTAACTAAAGCTAGAAATGTAGAAGCGTCTAACTATAACTGATAACATTTTTAGGCTTTGTTATATATATTATGTAAACGAGTAAGCAAATCGAAGTTGAAAACGATCACATCATTAAAAAAACCAATTCACCTTCTCAACTTTGCGTCAAAACACTAAACGAGCCTCCTAGCTATAGTCGGTATAGATGACATTTTCTTGATAACAACCTACTTTCGATGGAATATATTTTAGAAGATTAAACTTTTAATTTTATCAAAAAGTTTATCGTTTCACTTTTTAGTCTAAACCGAATCTATCACTGTCATTAGGTGTTCATTTATTTTTTTATCAGCAAACAAATGAGAGAACTTTAACGTGCTTAGCCTTTTATAAAGTTGACTCGGCTATAGTTTTTTTTTTTAAAATGGGTGAGTATTAAATTGTTGATATAAAATACTAATATTAATCACTTTTTAACGGTCTAACAAAAAAAGTTTCGAATCGTCTTTTCAATAATTTAACAGTGTGAATCAGCAATTATTACATCAATTTTACACTATTTTCTCATCATTTATACACCTTTTGCTAAATATAATGAAGTGTTGTTAAAAATACAATTTTCTATTGAACAAATTTGTCTTCTTTATAACAAAAAACGCGTCCAAACTATAATTTATAAAAAGATTAAATAGGTAAGCAATGCTACTTGCAAGCAGTGTATATCGTTTTCCCAAAAGCAACTGCACGGCATTATTAAAATGGTTTCCAAAACAATTATTGTTTCGTAATCTACCGTTGTCGCAAACCTAATTCAGTCTTTATTTAAAGAATAAACAATACTATATTTATTATGCTTAAGTAAAATGTTTACAGTTGTTAATAATTATTATTCACAAATACATATTTTATCCTAATTTCAGTAAAATACAATTAACATAATTTGTGCGCTGATCCGACACATTAAACTTTTTTCTCTTTAAACGTTACATTGTGTTTAATACAATCAATTTTTTAACTGTACCTTGAAAATTAAATAAAAACTATAGTTTCGAATGTATTAAACTGTTTGCATTATGTTTTATAATACCGATTTAGAAGAATGTATTATTTTAGGAAATCAAAGCTATACTTTAAATATAATAATACTAAAATTTACCACATTAGTTAGTTACACAGTATACATTTTCAACATGATAAAAATAAAATTTTAAATATGGAACCTAAACTTACAGTTAAAAATAAAATAACTCAAACACCACTACACAAATTTTAAATGATGCGGTATCGATAAGCACTTACTTATTACTTATAGTAAAAGTTAATACAGAGAAAATCGTACAATATAAATTGTACTATAAATAACAACAATTGTGTGCGTCTGACTAGAATTTATCAACGTGCAACGGATCTTCAGTCTCCAAGGGATTGCCTTTTAACACGGACAATATCATACTAAAAACAAACATAGAAATCATTAACAAATACTTATGATAACACCGAAACAAAAACGGTCGAAATACTTACAAGTACAAATAAAAGAAAAACGTGAGAAGATACCATCCGGTAAATATAACGAAACCCCTCATGCTTTTACGTATCTGACCACGGTGGTGTATTTCAGTTGGATCGTACAGTCCCATATTACCTCTGGGTATCATCATATACCTGTTAAAAAAAAAAAATAATAATAATAAATATATATGTCAACATGACTTTTACAGTTTAAATCTTGTCAAAAAAAAAAAAATAACCTTTTATAGCCTTATAAGTAATAATTATATGTTTAAGCAAATTAAAATTTTTTTTTTAAATTTGCAACAAAACTATAAAATTCGCTAATATAATCTATATAATACGCTAAAAACTTGTAAAAAAAGTATTATTAAATATTAAATTTTTTATTTTTATTTAAAACAATAACAATTAAGGAAAGAAAACTTTTTTTTTGTTTATCCAAATGGGTGGTTTGATATTTTTAAGAGTTTTGCTCATAAAATTGTTGTTTGTCTCAAATAGTATGTAATTTATTGATTAAGTGTTTAGAAAAAAAAAGTTGATTAATTAAAAAGCTTCGACTATTAATTATCACGTTATATTGTATTTGAAAAAAAACCCAAGAACTTTTGTTTTTAATTTCTTCATACTTTTTTTAATTTTGCATCGTTTAGACAGCAAAAATATAAAATGAATCACAATTGCGGCAACAATTATTAGTTGACTATTGTGACTAATGAATTAAGCAAACATTTTTAAATTGTTAAAGAAAAAAAATGTTTAACTTTGTAGATATCAATATTATTTATTGGTTCTATAATGATATTGATTTTTCATAGTTATTATTTTAGTTAACATTTTTATTTTCTCCATTTTTATATGAAAATTCTTAGTTGGAACAAATTAATTAATTTTCATCCAATTTGATTTTAAAAGTACAAGTCAACAAAAGTGTTGTATAACTTTCTACAACTAAAAAATCACTGTCTGTAAATAAAATAAGTATTTGAACTTACTCGCGTATTAACCATGCTAATGGTGGTATGTTTACTAATGCTAGGCTCCAGTTGAAGTCCGATAAGAACCCAACGACTAACAGTGATTCTGCGACGATTTTCGGTTTAACCCACTGGAAAAAAATACAATACTGTAATAATTACAAATATCGTGATGATGTTTTTCAAACGAAATTTTACTTACAAAATTTAATCTAGAACAACATTCTTGAGCATTTAGGTAATCACATTCGAGATCCGATATTGTTATAATCTATATAAATATCTTAGTAAAGGAAAAAAATAAAAAACGCCATTGCATTGTAAAACACATGAATAATTTATTAGTTAAACATATTATGTATTGTGCTTTATTTTGTATGCCGACTGATAAAATAAATTTAACTACAGCCGTAAATTTTTCAATGATTAACCGAGGCAAAAAATCCTTTTCTTTTTTAAACGTAAAAAAATATTAATTTTAATACCATCAAGATTGTAAAAAAAAAACATGTTTTAAGCTGTTGATTAAATTATTAGCAAAGTACCGTGTCACAATTCAAGTAAACGAGCGGTATTACCAGCAACTTAACTATGACGAGGTACTGTATGAGGAGAGTTAGCAATAAAAGTCTACGAATAGTAGTCGATTAAAGCTTATGAGCATTACAGCTAAATAAGATTGACCTATAGAAAATGCTGTATCCATGAAATGAGTCGTTTTTTAGATACAAATTTATGTCTAAGCCAAATAAAATATATTTCTATTGTGACCTCATTGCATAAAATAATCCTAATTCTATGGTCTAAGCAAATCCAATGACATCAAAAATTTAACAGATAACAAATTAGTATGGAATAAACACCAATTTAAAAACAAATATTACACGACCACACCAGCTATTTTTTAAATATATACTTAATTAGTTATTGTAAACTATGTCTTCTGTTCGCAAGAACCAAAACTTACATATTAAAAATGAAGATAATTTGTCAACAATATGAGTAGGCTATATTTTTATAAAGGATACAGAGTACACCATCAAGAACAGTAATGCCCCGGTGAGGAACATCGAAAATGCGTAAACCATAATATCCCACATGATGAGTTTGCGTTATTTCTGTAAAGTACAACAATAATTATTGAACAATACTAAAAATACCTAGTAAATAGTCTAAATTAATAAATAGTTAAACAGTTATGACGCACACCACTTACTGAGACACTTTAATGACTACTCGTGGAAATTATTTAAAATGCACATCACTTGGGAAAAATATTTAAACAATATGTACCTATCTAATTATGAAACATTTCATACTCGATGTTTTAATTTGATTCGTAGTAAATAATAATACCGAATTGTAAACAATTGTTATCGTTATCACAAACGAAAATGATAAGAGAATTTTGGTATAATATTATGCAGTTATTATGTTCGTGGTCGTAACCGTGGTGCAATCTAGCGGTATAACTGTGGTACCACGTTTTCCTGACGTGCAGTCGGTTATAATATTGTTTTTAATTTTTATGCAAAAAATAAATAAATAAATAATCGTCGGTTTCTGTAATCGCAAGACACGTTAAAGATAATAACACCGCTGGAGATCCAAATAAATTATCCGGTAACTGTTTACAGTTTATTGTAAAAAATATCAGATTGTTATTTGTCTTATGACTTATGTCTGTGGGGTAAACCAACAACAAATTCGCTAAACAAAGCGATATCCATCACTAGATAGAGCGAATAGTTTCTCGAAACTAACGTTATTTTTGTTTAAGCTTATTTTATCAGTACTGAAATACTCACTGCTTTCCTGTAATTATTAAGGTGCGTAGGTCTGCGGTTAGATTGCATTTTCGTCGGCAATGGTAATATAAAATATTGTTCCTTATATAATTTTGTATGTACACAGACGCATAGGCGCAACTAAGGGAGGGGGGCGCTAGCGGGGCCTTAGCACACCCAGACTCAAAATTAAAAAGCTTGTTCAATTTAACGTAAACAAAATTGATATAGTCGAAATTTATTAGAACTACTTTTTTCAATAAATATTGCCTATATAAAATTCCTTAAAAACCACCCACTTTCAATTTCCTTTACAGCCATTTTTTCACAATTTGAAATTTAATATTGAATCTTTTAATAGCCAATATTCTAAAGTAACATATGAAACCAATTTGTTTGGTTTTAAATTTATAAAATATATAATATATTTTATTTTATTCTTTCAACGTTCCATATTGACTTTTATCAGTGTATCATGTGTTTTTTTTTTACTTCTGCTAGCTTAATATAAGCATATACGGCATAGGTATCAAAACAATTTGCTTGTCTTTTGAATTTGTAAACGACTGCTATATATTCTTTATTATATTACCGTACTAAAACGAACATTTACACAAAACCTCAATTTTTAACAATTTTAAATAAAAATTAAAGTCCCCTTTTTATGAGCAGGTTTTAAGGCAGCAATTGGGTGAAGGGGTAATTTCTAGATTTTTGTTTTGTTTAGTATAATTATTTGATGTTTATAATATAAACCTAACCTAACCGGCCGTGTGTTAAATTTCATGTTTGTAAACCCATATTTGTCTCCAAAATCTATATTTATAGTGTATTATAAATAAATACATTTTAACTGCTTTACCCTCAAACTGAGAAATTACTTAACATTTCTTTTAAGTATTTTTTGTAACAATTTAAGAAAAACATGTTTTAATTTATATTGTTGTGTCGCTCTCTTGTATTCAGATGTTGCAACATTTATTGTGATATTATATTATTGGCTGCTGGATAGCTGCATCGTATAAACGAGTGACTTGGCGACAAAACCATACAGCATATTCATAATGTCTAACTATAGCGATTCGTTATAATTATAAATTATAACTTACTACAAATTCAATGGTATTATAAATGGCCGTTAGACAGCACTAACCGTACTCAAGTTATTCAAATTATAATATTATATTTTATATTTGAAAATAATTGTATCATTACATAATAATATACTAAGTGCTGTTACCACAATGCCCAACTAATTTAAATATTTTTATTATATTTTTTAGCCAGAAATGTAGTGTCTTATATATATTGTTAACAAAATCTTTTATTTATTTATTTTTTTCAAATAAGGTAAATATTTAAAAACAACATTTTGTAAACAGTATTTATAAGAAATTAAATGTCAAGACAAAAAATTATTACAATTTATTTAAATTGGTTTATCCCAGTTTGTTAGCTGGGAAATATATGCATCATTTATTTTTTTGTTATGTATTAAATATACTGTTTTCATAGATCGATTGGCCTAACTACAACTCTGTATAAAAATGCCTGACACAATTTGTTTTATTATTTTACTAAGGTCGATTAATTCATTTGTTGATTTTATAAGACAACCAATGTGAAGCATGACATGACATCTTGATATTCTACTCTGGTACGATTTGAGTTTCAACTATAGGTATGTATATTGCAGTTTTAACTCTTATTAATAAATCACAGTATTGCATTTTAAATTATATACTAGACATACACTTACAATCCGCGAGGCACTTGTAAAGTTTCCACTTTGCCGTCCCTTAAACAAATGGTTTATAGTTGACTGCTTTAATTTATTAATAATTTTTCCACAAAATCTAATAGGTTTAGTTGGTGGACTTTTAATAGCTTTTACTCTGCTTTTTAAAAAAGGTTTAGCCAATACGTTTTGAAAATGCCTTTTTTACGACCAAGCGTTTTATTTGTATTAAGCACGCCTCAGTAATTTCACGAGTAAAAATTAACAAATAAAACATGGCAATAAAATAAAATCACTTAACACAGCTGTACAAAAAAACGTATCCTATTTTCCAACAAGTATTTGTGATTCGAAATTTTGTACATTTTATATTTAAAGTGATTTTTAACATACAATTTGTTTTCATTAAAGGAAACAAATTTAAATGATTATTTTACAAGTCTTACTGGTAGTTTACCAAAAAAAAAAAAAAATATATCTTAATTTGGTTAATTTGGTATATTAACAATTCCTTTGTCCTCCATTGTACATTAATTCCAATTATACTATCGACAAAAAATACAAATGTGTGTAAGTAAAATATCAATCTCTATAATACATTAATCATGAAAATGATACAGTATAACGTAACACGTTTTATACTTTAATTGAAACTGAAGTGTCCATTATAATTTAGTATTTACACTGCACAATGTACAAATCATGCTATTGATAACAACATTGTATTTACATTTTTTTGTACATCAGAAACCTCACCATTGTTTGTAGTTTACAAGTGGCTTACACAACATAGATATATTTTAAATAATTATATAATTATTTACTATTATATATACCTCGCCTAAAAATGTTTCGATTGATATGAACTTTCAGTCACGTGTTGCCCCACTTGGAAAGTATTGGGAAATATTATTCAAAAAATTATTATTACATTAATGTGATTCTTAAAATAATATATCAATAGGTGTGTCTTGAAAAGAAAGATTCATTTCCGCTATCGAATTTCATGAAAAGTTTTTTCATATTTAAAATGCGATCAAGCCAAAATATTTAATGCATTAATAAATCGAACAAAATCATAATAAAAGTCGCATTATTTAACGGTAGCTATACCGTATTGTAAAGTTATTATGTACAATTTTGGGGGCAATATGCAAAACAAATTTAATTTGTGGTCAGTTTCGGACCACTGAAAACAATAGATTTATGTTGACTCTTGTTTCTAAAAAAGTTCAAATTTTTGTTGTACAGTATGATAAATCAAGAAAAATGCAACTATCTTATAACATCTCATCGGTTTGTCCAATCATATAAATCAACATTCATATAATTTGTATCTTATCCACTTATTTTTCCAAATTAACGCTTTTGTCGTTATTATACCTATCATTGTCTGATTTCCTTATTATTCCCACCTTATTGTTTCCACACAGCTCCTACCCTTATTTCTGCTAGTTACCCCCCCCCTACCCTCTTGTTAATTACGATTTTCTCTTCTTGTTTTATGTCAATTTTAAAATGGGTTGTGATAGCATATTATTAGATATTAATATAATATAGTATTAGGAATTTTCAAAAAATACTTTTCGAAACATTTGTAATTTTTAAGATGAGATGCATCTAAAAAGGCCATATTGTTTTTTGTATATCTTGTGAAGACTCGACGACGCGGTACTGTGGATATGTAAACGATTAAATCATTGTACTTGATGTTGTTGAAGAAAAATGCAAATGAACCTATCCAAAATCTTGGCAAATGCACTGGAACCACCTGTCATCACAGATTTGCGTTCAGCGCAATAACGGACTAACGCCAAAATAGTTTAGACCTTTTTTACATTGAATTTTATGGAGTATAGTTATTTTTAATTCCATTAACTTAAATATTGAAAATTTGTGGCTTAGTCCATTATTGCGCTGAAGTCCTCTGTTATGAAATTAAGAAAGTCAGCTGATATGAATCAATCAACAGTGTATGTTTATAAATAATGTTAATATTTTTATATCTCTACACAACTATTATGCACATACGCATACTTAACACAACAGGATATTTTTTTTTTAGTTCGACGGGTATGATAAAATATAATAATCATGTATGTGACGCTCTTTGAATGTCTGAAATAAGAGCCATTGCCATTTGAAAAATAATAATTTTACTACAACGTTATTCAAACGCGATCGGAGTGAAAATATTATTTCAAATCTGAGCAAACGGTTTGTCACAATTAATGTATTAGGTATTTGTATTTTTAACTCAAATAATTACATATATTATAGTGCTTCCGCAGTTAGAACAGATGCATAGAATTACAAAACACGTGAGTATACAAAAAAATTAAAATGTTTACGGCCTATACAATATATTCCTTTATACTTACACTTATGTAAGTATTACAAAACAGTAATAACTATTATAAATGTGTATTGTCAATAAATATGTTGGCTATTTACTTTTCCATTGTTTTTAAAAACTATTGGACTAACTATGAAGCAATTTAATCACTTAACGATATATCAAATAAAACTAATTTGTACATTAGGCTATTATTAGTCTCTACTAATGTCCAATTTGGGATACTCTCGTTCGATTAACTACAAATAAATAGTCAATTTAATTACAAGTACCAACGGTTTGTTTTCAAACATCGCTCCCACCGAAGAAAATAATTTCATTATCCTAACCATTATAACATGGCCCATTATATACATTAATAAGTAATAATACATTGAACATTAACCATATATATAGGTACACCTATACCTATACCGTTTTAGGTATATATCGCTTTATAGGTTCCTTTCAACGCGAAGTTTAATATTAATAATTATACAAGTTTGTATACAGCTGATGTCACTCGTATAGCACTTCTGCATCTGATACTTTTGTCTGTGTTGGAAGAGAAAACGCACAATAAACTGCAGTACAATCGGATGTTATCAACAGCAGCCACTCAGAAACATCTTCGATTAACCTGTAAGCACCTCTAGTATACGATAAGAGTCTACCATACTCGTATGGTATATTATGTGTATACTGAATGAAGTGCGGCAATCATGAAATAAATTACAGCGATCCTATATTTGTAGCTAAAGACACTTACCTAAGTTTTGACGAATTCATTGAACATGACGTAACATCCGCCACACGAGATAGACATTTCTAGATAAATATGTCGAGCTTCGATGCGAAGCTGAGAACTGAGATATTGGTTTTATAATGATGTGTTTTTCTGTCTAGATAAGATAATATTACAACTGAAGGTGATGAAAGAACTTTCAAATAAACACTTCGGTGCAACAACTTTAAGTACAAAATATGGAAAAAACTCTTTGGACGGTAGATGTATTAATCGCTTTATTTTATTTTTTGGATTTTGTTTCAATAAAGAAATGTGACTAGGTAAACAAAATTAGAGTACTTATTTCTTTATATTTTTAAGTTGGTGATATTCTAACGAAAATGTTCACTGGTAGATTATGTAGGGTTCGTCGGTGACGAGGTACTAAGCTATCGCATGTCAGAAGACAATGAATATAAATCAGATTGATTGTAAATAGCATCCAACAGTCGTGATCTCTTTTTTCATCAAATTCCATTTAGTAGGTATAGTGTATGTGAGACGACATATAAACTGAAAACGCATTACTGTGCTGAAATCGAAAACCTTTTTTTTTCGTTAACACACGCCCAACGTTCGAAAAAATTGGAAAAACGAACAAAAATCTAATAATAATATGTCAAACTTAAATCCCATATAACATGTCTGCGAACGGTTAACCAAAAGTACAGACCTCTGTCTATTCTTTATATTTTCTTTGTCGGTCGACCTTTTGTTTTTCCGTCGTAAGACAATATTGTTAAATTCGATTTAGGTAAACTCTAACGATCCATTGTGATAATAATATTGCTCTATCGAATCCGAGTAATTCAATATTGCAAAATAAATAGTAACAACGAAATAAAACGTATTTTTGTGCAGTCGTTAAAGTTCTCTTTGTTAATCGGTTCCGAAACTCAATATGTTACAACACATGGTAAATAATTAAATATTGATTCATTAATAAATTATTCGTCCACAAACGGTTAGATGTATGTATTTGTTTTGCATTTTAACGTATTAAGTTGTCAAAGTATTTTTGTTGGCACAATACTTTTATTTCTCTCTGAATATAATAAATACCCAGTCAATTCTCGTACATCAACAGAACATAAAATAGATATACACACTATGTACTCGATACACATTGCAGAAACTGTATTTAATTGATACATTTTATTGAATGACTGTAATCAAAATTATTGGTTCATAATTTGCCCACCGAGAGTGTAAAAAACGATATTATGGGTAAACGTGAGCTGATTTATCGGGTCTTATCGATATAAAAAAAATACTTATAGTACAGGTAAGTATGTTGTATTATAGCTGGCTTAATCGATCAATGTGATGACAGCGATATGACGTGCGGACGGATTGATCACAGAGGAGACAAAATACCAGTAGACTAAGAACAAATGTCGTTGCAGCCTTTTGAAGCTCAACAGTGACCATGGACATAACGAAAGTACGCAAAACCGAATGCCAAAATAAAATAAGTAAGTAGTTAATACACCCGTTAAGGTGTATTAATTTTTGTGGTTAAGGGTTTTTCAATTATTTTTTTATTGTTTTACTTCTTTACTACCAATTATTTATATAACAACATGTGTTGCTTAAGTTTTTCCAAAAAAATGCCATAATTGAAAATCTACTCGTTTTAATTATTTTTGTAAAATCGTTTCTGTCAACTATTTTCTCAAGAGTCAGGCTCTTAATTCCACCCATAAAGAGGACTTCCTAATCCCTATTTATTAAGGTGTTTGAATCTTTTTTAAAATAAAGCTTAAGTTTATTATTAATACAATAATTATGAGCTTTTATTGGTAGTTATATTTTTTTTATTAGACTATCATAGCGGCATTTTTTCAACGTTTTCACTATTTTTTTTCTTTATTATCTATCAACTATAAAACCATCTTATTTTGCCTGCAGTATTAACCGAAGAATCTTAACATTTAGATGCCACTTAAAAAAAAACTATATTATACAACGTAGATCGTTTTTGTTTGAAACTTCCTTTAATCAAATAAGTTTTTATTGAAGTAATTAAAAAAAAAACGTGAATTTGTATTAATTAAGCTAAATATTTCCAAAATTTAAAAACTTTACGTCCACTATGAAAAAAAATAAGACGGTTTTAAAAATAACAAGTCTTACACCTTATTTTATTATGGCTGTGTGGACTCCTTTCAAAAACATTTTTTTTTATATTTGTAAGTATACACTTTAATGTATACCCACTAGGGAAGAGACTGCACATATTTTAATTTTTACAAAAACCGTTTTTCTTGTCATGTAAAAGACTTATTTAAGATTTAATACTTTTATCTACAATTTGTAGATGTGATACCTATAAAGTACATAGTAGTAGTAGCAAATTATTTGCTTTAAGACTTTCCCATAATAGGTCTAAAGTAAATGCAAAAATGGTAAAAAAATTTCTGGTTTGACCAATTACAATAAATTAGAGTTATAATAACATCGAAACAGATAAAATCATATTGACCGCACCGCGTCATAGTTATTTAATTTTTCTCATTTGGTGTGTATTTTTCGTATTACATAAATTGTTTTAATACCTAATATCCTGCTGGTTTATTATTAACCAGTATTTAAATATTATGTCAATTTTTATAATAGGAGATATTACACAATGGATATATTATAATCTTTGCGGGACATTCTGCACTATAATATGTAAACCGACAAAATTCCAGCATTTATATATGTATATATATATATATATATAAATATATGCAGCGTTATGTGTAAATGTATATATAATTCTTTTTTAATCGCGATTTTCACGTAGGCGTCCCAGGGCCACTGGTTTAAATTTACACAGTTCTTAACGATGGAAAAAAACGATAGTCTTTCTAAAAAAAAATATTATAGAACTTTCTACTTTCGATAAATATTTAAAATAGACACCGACCGCACAGCTGTTGCTATAGTGCTTATTGAAACGAATAATTCCACACAAGTACCAACAATACAATAATACTATTATACTATAATAGTAACAGCGGTAAATACAATACGTTGTGGCGTTATTAAAATTTGTTATTTTTTTTTTTTTTTATTGTTTTTCCTTATCAGGACTTCGGACCCGGAGATATCTTTGGCGTCGTCTGGTATAATATAATAATTTATTATAATATATCATACACACAGTAGTCGCACAGTACACGCGCTCGCTCAGTTCGTCATGGCCAATCGCTCGGGCAACAGACCGTTCATCACCGGGACATCAACAATACACTACCGGCGCTGAGAATAATATTGATTTTTTTACTAGGTTTTTTTTTTTAATTCGACCGGAAAAAATCGCCGGTGGATTAAGTTTAATATAATATAGATATTTTTTTATTAACTTAGAAAATAATTTGTTTTTTTTTTCTTATGCGACTTTTTTGCCGTCTCGGTTGTCTTATTGCTGGTTTTTGTTTTCTTACGGGACGATAATATTGTTTTAACAGCGATACAATATTGTTGACGGTGAATTTTTTGTCCATATAAGAGTGCGCCGGCGATGGAATTCAATAGCGGTTTGGTCGGCAAAGTCGTCGGTTTCGCCGCCTTGGTGGCGTGCACGCGAGCGGTCGCCGAACCGCCGGAAAACTGTTGGCGAAAATTGTCGACCACGACGCCGTCTTGCGACCAACTCGGTTCGGGCAACGACAAACTGTGCATCGTCAAGTACAAAGTGAGTACACAGCGAAAAAAAATTACAATTTGATAACGTTTCGAATTATTCTGGTATCGTCTTGTCGCCCACGACAACGGTATAGTGAAAAAATTAAAACACATTCTCCAAACTCGGTCGGCGATTGTGTTGTTATTCGGGCGGCCAAATCGCTTGGCCACTAAACAAATTTTTACAAAGTATTTTCACGCAAGTTTCGAATATATTATACCCGTTTTTATTATAATATGGTCGCCGCATTCGATACCTAACGTTATTATAATAATAACAAGGTACACGTGTACGTTTAACGGTATCTTATGTATACACACATAATATAGCCTGTAGGTATAAGAAGACTCTACCACCACCAGACGCGAACAAAACCGACACCGGCTAATGCGGTCCATATCACCGGATCGGCTACTGTCGTGTACATATATAGCTCATGCTACAAGTACACTATATTATCTATTCTATATAAAACTCTCCAGACGCAGATAGTGGTACACGCTATGTCACGCGCACACACATTTCACGTGTACGACCGCCAACGGCAACCGTGGCCGGTCGGAAGCAAAATATCTTATTCGATAATGTTAAAAACGTATTATGTTGTCGGAATTTCTCCAAACAACTTACCCAAATCCCCGTCTCCATCGCTTGAATAAAATAATAATTATTATCGTGGATATGATTGGGGTTGATCTTCAGAATTTCTTAATAATTAGTTAACATGACGACAGATTTTTGTAAAAAATTGTATAATATGTTGTTACAGCCACATTCTAGTTCCTATTTTTCAGACCTGAAACAACGCTGGAAAAAGTGTAATAAATTTAAAATGTCTACCCCTTCTGGTTTAAGGGTTTTTCAAAGTATATCGATAGTACTACACGTACAGAATATCAATACAAAATCGCAATAGCGCATATAGTATACACTGCTAAGACCATCAAGTTGTATTTACAAATATATTAATTATACTAATGGTATAGCGTCAATAGTTATAACATGTGTACTTCAAACGTGTATTATTTCAATAGGACTTCTTATTCTGTTACAGTGTAAAAAAAAAAAATATGAAAATCTATAGTGGTATAGTGAGTCAAAATTTGTCGGTCGTTTTGACGGTGAATGTGATTTAAATATCGAAATTGAGCCTCTGACAAAACTGTTAGTTCTTTTTGCTTTTTATTTGATAATATTATTTGATCAATTAGGTTTCGGAAAGTCAATTTTCAATAATATTCCATGTTACACAATGTAATGCTCAAATGTTGTCAATAAAATATAAAACATAAATTAATTATTATATTTTATAATATGATCACATCAGTTTACCTTCTTTGTTTTATTAACTTTCAGTGAAAATAACTAAGTTAACGTCTCAACAATTTTGAAATTATTTGACAGATTAAGTTTTATAAACCGATTAAACTAATTAATATATTTCTTAGTGGTGGGTTAGCCTCTCCAAGTTTAATTATGTGATTTTTTAATCATACTTCCGCAGAATTATTATTTTCTCGAACACCGGTTTCGTTTGAATTTTAAATAAAATGTGCCAAAGCTGATTTTTCTATTCGTTATACAGTAGAAACAATTAAAATTAGCAATATTTTCTTCGCTGTTTCACTCGACTAATAATTAGACATTTACCTTGAATATATTATTATAGAATTTAGTAATCGTAAGTACTGGGGTATTATTTTAAATCGTCATCGTACGAATATAATAACGTTTTAAAGTAAACAAAATCCTCGAGAAACGTTTATACGTCGCTTAGCCAATTTAAAGTATGCAACATTTTACGTAGAATTTTTTCCTAATGCTGTCGCAATTTTTACAAACCATAAACGTCCCGAAGTTTGGGCGGAATCAAATTGGTAACCCTGTTGTGATAGTGTGCGAACACACGTCAAATAATACATTACACACAGCTCTACAAGAATAATTTCAAAGCGCCTGCCAAGAGCATGGCCAGAGTCTCCCAATTTGTTTTAGACTTAGCTGTCGCGCCACCACAACAATAATGTCGGTTGCAAAAGCTGTTACATTATGTGACTGTAGTACACGCCGGTTATTAATTTTAATGGTAAACTCCGTGTCGTGGTCTCGGTTTAACTTCTCGGTCGGAAGTGAAACCAATCGACTGCGAGAAGTTTAATCGCTACGGATGCATCAATTATTGGTCGTTAACTTTATTTAACCTCACCTAACGGTTTAACACAACGCAGTGTCGTTTACGGCACGACTCTCGAGGAATTTATCTTACTTGGACAAATGTCTGTTAAGCTCCCTACGAAAATATTACATCCATTAAATAAACTATTCCTAAATACTATTCGGCTATTGTTAATTATTTACTAAGTAGTAATATATATCATTTATTTTTCAACGAAACAAGAATCGTCTGATATGATTTATTTTTGGTTTTTTAATAAGAATTTGTTGAGTTACACAACGGCTTACACAATATTAGTATACACATAGAGTATACATTAGATAGGTCATAAGTATGCGATTGAATAATTAGTGTCCTCGGTTGCTATTTTGTAAACGGCTGAATAAGCTATACGCTAAGACACAACGAAGAACTCCATAGCATCACATGTAAGGTATGATAGAAGGGAAACGCGGAAGAGGTTGGCCAAGAACGTGTTATGCAAGTCAAGTAATCAAAGATGCAAGAGTCGATTCGTACAAGCAACTCAAGGATAGAGCGCAAGACCGAGAATCGCGGACAGAACATATTTTATTGTAGACCAATTTACGGATTGAATACTATAAATAATTTTGCCTAAATTTCACTGTTGTTTAAACATATTTAAAAATAGGTATATGCTTATACAAACCGTCTGCGTTTGTTTGAACAAGGCGGCTATCCGTATTTGTCATAATCGCTGTCAAAAAGTATCATTATTATCTTTAGCTATGTAATAATATACTCAAAATAATATACTCATGGTGTTGGTTTCAACCGTGCATTATATTTGTTCACCTGTTTATGAACACTGCGCAATGGTAATTAAAATCGTTAGCCCTATTGTAAACGTTTATTAGTTAAATAAAATAAAATTTAATATTACATTAAACATACTCTTACGTAAGTACGTCCGCGCTACGGTTTTTATTAAAAAATGTATCATAATGTTAATCTAACAATTCTTACTACACAGGGATCTAATACAAATCCTCGGATAAAGTATACTTATCTTTGTAAAATGTCAAATAAAATATTATGTATAAAAAATACACTATAAATATATTCGAGTACGCCTGACTTAAGCCAAATGATAGGACCACGTGATAGCCAATATAGTAATAAATCATAATGTAGTTGAGCATTTATAGCAGTTATTAGTTTTATTGGAAGTACAAAAGGCAATATTTCTGAACCGATTCCATAACCTATCTTAATACGATTATAAAACTAATGGCAACAATTTTAATGATCAAATTTAACTAAGAATCTTTATTAAAATGTGGCCCTAATAATTTGTGTACTTTAAAACATTCATTTTGGGTATTTGCGATGACTTTTAATAAATGTCGGTGGTCTACGCCGTGGAAGAACACAATTGAGTGAGTCGACTGATTTCATTATAATTTATACAATAAATCCATGTAAGTGAGCTCAATAAAATCAATCCGGTCTGGTTTGAACACAAGAACCCGTCGATTCATTTAACTTAGGTAGGTACATCATTAGCCAAACAACTATTGTCGTATTCGGTATTAGAAATTAAATTAAGGAAAGTAGAACAGGATATTATATCTTGGTTCAACGGCGCGGCGTTGGCAATTTATAATAGATTTTCACCGAGGTAGTATTTTTATTAATATTTTTCATAATATTAGCCTTCCGTTTATTTGTTTATCGTCTTTCTGCCCAGTTAATCTAAAATAATACCTTTATCGAGTTGATGGCTTATCGAGCCGTTATAAATTCTAAAATATTATATTTAATTTGGCGAGAAATATTAACACTACGACGTCATATCGTACAACGACCGGAGGAGTGATAAATTATTATCGATATTAGAAAAATAAAGTCCTACATGCTTATACAAAGGTCACAGACGTCTGTAAAACCGTTATTATTTTTTTTTTTGCTATAATCTGTTCATTAATTTATTTTTAATTACATTACGCGATAATAACACGAATTAGTGTTAAACTTTATACCGCGGCCCTGTCATATTCACTTTGCTGAGAAAGATAAACTATTGGTTTAAATTATTTACACCATTGTCAACTATTGCTGCTGCTGTTCTCGGTTTGGTGTACAAGAACGTAGAATTATTTAAAAACATGACGTTGATCGAAGTCTATTAATGTTCTGAGGTTTTTTTTTATGAGTGGGAGAGACAGTTTTTTAATTGTCTCCTCAACTCTGGCTTTTCGCAAACCTATAAATATTTCTTCTAGCCAATTTCTTTTTAATAGTTTTACCAATGTGTTGAATGGAGCTGAGAAGGTATTGCTTTTACAACGATGCGTTTTCATTGTAGCCGCTGATTCCTTTATGTAGCATTTAGCAATTGTCTTTAGATACTACAACCTTACTAGAAAGGTGCTTTATTGGGTTAAAATTTACCCCTTCTTGTTGTCGACTTGCCTATTGGTAGTAACGACGGCAACGAATTATTAGGAAAGACAGACGATCAACCCTAATCGTGTCCGCGCCTTAATACTGAAAATAGAATTTTAAACTTATTTTTGGGCTAAATTTGTTTAAACTGACCTTAAGGGTCAGTTCTCACTGATGTGTTTCTTATCAAAATGAATTTAAAAACAACATAATGGCCAATTTTAGAAATTGACTTTCCTTGTTCCCTTCATATGCAAACCATTTCTACATTGAATTATACTATTAACGGTAACATATACATATATTTATGTGGATTTTAATTTATAAAACGATGTATGAGTTTTTTTTATTTTTAGTAATATTACAATAACTGCATCGACCGAGTTTTTAAGTACTTAAGGGAAATTAAATGGCCGGAAAATAAACTTTAGCCCTAATAGAACTAAATTAAGAGGCGTGCGTCGTTAGTGACTAAATAGCAATTTCATACAGTTAAAGAATAGATGCATTTTTTTTTCGATGGCGTTTTTGAGTAAATTTATCGTTTAATCTCATTCCATCTTCAATGTAGGCGTGTCTCGGCTTCCGGCTGTTCGAGCCCACCGAGGTTAATCTCGTTCACAGTAATTTGTTCATTGTTTAAACAAATAGTTGAACTCTTGGCCTGCGTGCCTAACAAAACTCGTACATTATTATTGTTTTGGAAGAATTTTAATTATATTAGTTTTTAGAACGATATTCATTTATCAATTTTTTTCTTAGTTATTATATTTTCTTAAATTTAGTCGACTATATTTTTAAACGGTTAGAACCAAACATATTAAGAGTAAATTTTACAAAATCTTATAGAAAAGCAAAATAAAATTATATTTTTAATTTATTCATTGGTTTTGTCCAACACAGGGTGATTCTTTCATCATGGGTCGCTCAATATCTCATATTGGGTTTAATAAGAAAAACAAATTGTTTTCATGTTTTTTTATACGATGTGTTCTCGATTTTTCACAACTTTTTTTATTTTATCCCCCTCCCAAGTTTTTTTTGAGAGCAACTTTTGTATTTTAATTAATGGTAACGCTTACATTTCATTAACTTTTTAAATTGAGAATAATGTACTAAACATTTTGATTGGCCGATAATCAGTTTAGGCCAGGAAGAAAGGTGTAGTGTATTATTATTTTTGTCTGCGCACATTTCCCAACCGCACTCCCCTCCCATCCTAAACTCTTATAGCTTAAAAAATAGCTGCCCAAAAGTGGTTATCAACCAGTCAAATTTTTATTACACCATTCTTAATTTAAAAAGTTAATGAAATATATGCGTTACCATTTAAGTTACACATTGTATAAAAACAATATGGAAAAAAATTTCTTCTTAAATCCTATGATATATTTAGTAGCCCATGATAAAAGAATCGCCCTGTGTACCGCGTTAAAAATGATTACTACATTACTTTTTAGTACAAGTGATTTACTAATTCGAACCCATCGTCTCAATTTATATTCTTAGATCGAATAACGAATAATATTAATTTGGTTTTCGTTTACATATAACAAAAAAATATTAACATAGAATTATTGTACACAATAATCTGTAGCGAGTATAATTAACTATCATACATTCTTTGTTCTCTATACATATACTATTTTTTTTAAGCTCATTAAGGCTTTAACTTATTAGCCATATTTGCTATTGAAGATTCCACGTACAAAAATCATGAGATAAGGTATATTTATAATATTGCAGCGTAATTTCATATTATCTAAATCTGTATGAAAAAAACCATATTAGTTTGTGAAGGAGATTAATTTAATGTCGTTTCAATTGTTGAGCTTCCAATCAAAGTACTCGTTATCACGACCGTCATGTACTAACAGCAAATTGCTTGTATAACATTTTCAAATTATTTTCGTTTAGAGTGGATTTGAGTGAAAAACACTATATGTTGAAACATCTTATGAAATATTGCAAAAAACACTCGAATAGATAAAAAACAAAAAAATTCTTAGGCGTTAAAAATAGTAAAAAGCTCAATTAATAATATCGTAGAGATATTTATTATAACAGGTTATTTGAAACAGTCAAGTAAAAATATAATTAAACAATTGTAAATTTCTTGTAAAAACCAAATATTAAAATAGATGTGCTAATTGAAAATGTATTTCAAATAACTCATTATTTTCAAATAATTATTATTTAAAGCAAATACTCCCAGTTTGATAAGGGTAGGACCACAAAATTAGAATTTTCTCCAAAAAAGAAATTATTTAAACTCACATAAAAGTCTTTAAATTACTCATTTTAAATTATACAGCATAAGATAAAAAGTATTTTCTGAAAACGGTCAAAATTGAATGATATCTTTAATGTTACTTAAAGCATAGGAATATAGTATTTCAAATATTACATATTATACATTTTCAACAACGTGTATCGTGCATTTCATCAGTCAAGTGTTTTGTAAAAAAATAAGATCTTTTTTGCAAACGGGTTTACAGTTAGAACTTGAATAGTTTTTAGGTATTTGATGAAGTTCTTGGAGATTTTTATTTTTGTACTTCAAATATGTTTGAATTCTGATAAACGTGGAATAACACTTCTCTGAAGGATGTTTACTTATATTGCAATGGTTTTTTTTTTACAGTGTAATAACTCGACGTTGCCGAATTCGTGTTCGACGGAATTCATTAGCTACGACGACACTGTCCCTTTGAGAGAAGAGTCTTTTTCGACTGATCCGGACTACACTCAGCAGAAGCTCAGAAGGTCTACATCAGCCGAAGGTAAACACACACATGACTTTTTAGGGTTTCAGATTTATTTTGATTTTTATTTTCCAGCATGGATTGGCGGTTTCACAGCGGTGAGCGTGATAAGTCTGTCCGGCTTGATCGGTGCACTGTTTTGGCCTCTTCTCAACGATCCGCGCAAAAAAAATTCCGTCATGAGAGTGCTCCTAGGTTTGGCTACGGGGTCGTTGTCCAGTACGGCCATTTTCCAACTTATACCTGAGGTAGGTGGCGTTAACGATACGGGAATGGTTTTATTTTTTTTTAAATTAAGAATAAAATATAAAAGATTACACTGTAAAACAACACACTTACCTTTACTCAAAACGAGAACACCGAAGAAATATTTGAATTTTTTTTTTAAATTTAAGTTGCACTGAATCTCATTCTATCCTTTAGAATACTGACCTTTTTTTTAACACCATTTAAACTAAATTCGAATTTTTATATTTTAGTGTCTTAAAAAATGATTTGACTTTCAGTAATTAAGATTTCTGAAGACTTGTGACCGCTCCCACTTTAAAATATACTCCGTCTCCAGTTAGGTTAGGTTGGATTAATTTAGGCAGCTCTTTATTTCTTTTTTTTTCTTATAGCATTTACTAAGAAAACACATTAAATATTATGTCGCAGACCATATGATTACCTATTTATATATTTAGTTTGCTTATAATACATAACATAAAAGGTATTTTTACCGCCTCCGTTGTAAAATGTCTATGAACTAATTGTTTTAAATCCGACCGAACCTATCCAATTATTTTAATTATTTTTATCTCATAATTTATATTTACAATTACTCGCAATCCGTCACAGTGAAAAATACACTCCGTGAATTGAATATGGCCGTTTTCAGTGTTATAGTGCAGCAGAAAAAAAATGAATTAATTATTCTTTAAATATTCTGACATAATCGCTGTGAATCGTTAGTGAATTATAATCATCCAGCCTGCATATATTTTATCTCCTTTTTTTTATAATTATTATTTTATAAAATATAATATACATGTATACAGAGTTATTTAAATTATAAATTTAGTCTCATAATTATTTAAGCGAGGCACCTTTTGTTTTTGCTGGTTCAACATCATTTGTGCGTTCCAAACGAATGTTAGGTTTGATTGATCAATGACTAAGAAACCATAAAAATACTATACTGCCGATCGAGTCTAAATTCCATATAGAGATAAAAGGCGCATGTTTTTTTTCTGTTTTTCCTAATTGTCTCATTTCTATTATTGCCGGACTCAACCATGATACCTCCTGCCATGTGAAGCACGCTATTGATTTCCATTGTAGTGAACCAAAGTTATTATTTTTAACTACATTAAATACGTTCGATTAGGTTTAAAATCGCCTTCTAGTTGTAAAATAAACAGTTGTGTGAACTTTTTAGTATTTCCTGTACGTTTTAATAATTTTCTATATTCTGTACAAAAGAAAAAATAGAAAATTCTAATTTTGGTCTTGTGAGCTGTTTGTGACTTTGGAGGCGATAAAAAAAACAGTCGTACAAGAGAAAAACTGAGGATAGAATCAAATTTAACGAAATAAAATTAAATAAATATAGATGTACATTTTTTCTTTCAAAGTAGTTTATACAACAATGCTCTGGGGGGAAATAATGCCCCCCTCAGGACATTCAATGATGCACATGTACGAAAAAAAAAATGTATTAGGTATTGAAGATTTTTTTTTTGTTCTGTTTATGTGTTTTAGGCGTTCAAAATATCGGATTCGTTGCCACATTTCCGATCCACAGTCGTTATAATGTGGATAAGCGTTTGGGGTCTGTACACATTGGAGATATTGGCGTCGATAATTTTCCACAAGAAAGAAAAACCGGTATTTTAGACATAAATAATATTATTATGTATTCCAAGCCATGCGGTTACACGGTACTCATGTGCTGACGATATTAAAAGAACGCTATTCCAGATAACCGACGACGAGTTGGGTACTCATCTGCCGATCACCAACGGCGGTACCGTGACGGAAATGAAGCTCACTGCACACAACCACAACAGCCACAGCAGCCACGGTCACAGTCATAAATTGGGCAAATCTATTGTAATTATACGAATAAAAATTATTGTATAATAAGTCCACTAAGATGGGCCATTATCGTTCTCAAAACTTTCGGCAATCTTGCGTTAAAGTTTTTCGTTTTTCTTAAGGGTACACAGGATCAGCAAACAAGTCTTTTTACATCTCAAAATACAGATTTTCCACTCCCGCCTCCGTTTTTAATAATTTCCACCCAATTCGTTTTTTTTTGACACGGTCAAACCGTTTCAATATAATATCCTCCAAATCACCTTTCTCATTGTCATTCCTCTAATACTAACCTAGTCTAAATCCATCTCGACGTAAACGTTTTAGCTACTTCTATTCAGATTTAGGTATCGTCCGATTGAACAAATAGTAGATCATTCTAATTTCGTTATGTTTTAGCTGTTATTCGTCACTTAATGCAGTTTTGCCATACTCTGATCCTATTTTCTTCCGTCACCGACTTGTTGAGTTTTGCTGTCACTCTGAGCGACACCTATTGTTGTCATCTTTTCCAATTTCTTGATTTTCTTGCTTCAAGTCGTTCCCATAAAATGCGATTTCTCAACTTGATTTGCCTACCACGTGTCTCCAAACAGAACACAAGCGCTATACCTCCATCTCTGACCCACTCTTTTTATCTTAAACGTTGAGTATGTGTGTACTTTATTTTTTTTTCCCCTAGGACGACAAGCTACCTATATCGCCGTTGGCTTTGCTGGTGTTGTTCGGAGACAGTCTGCACAACATAATCGACGGAATGTCTATAGGAGCAGCTTTTTCCGAAAATGTCGCAACCGGCATATCCATTTCGATAGCAATCGCATGCGAGGAGTTCCCGCACGAAATAGGTAAGGATCTTCTTCTCCCCTAAAAAATAAAAAATAGTGGTTTAGCATATAAACCTATACTATACTCTTATATGTTATGCCACAGGTGATTTTGCGATATTGATACAGTCCGGTTTATCGTTCCGGCGGGCCCTCTGTTTTAATTTCTTGTCGGCGTGCACATCGTTTGTCGGAATGTTCTTCGGCATATGCTTGGGCAACATGGAGTACTCGGGTTTTGTGTTCGCCTTTGCTGGCGGATTGTTCCTATTCATCACCCTATCGCATTTGGTAAGTGACAACTGATATAATATTATTATGAAACTATAAAAAAAAATCTATGCCAGACAAATGTCTCTTTTTGGTCTATAATAACCTATACTATCTCTTATCAGCCGTTCCTTAGCAGCGATAAGAGTGTATTACATTTTACGCATCTGAATTTTTTCTATCATATGATTGATAGAATATAATATTTAAAAACTCATACATCCAGCACTATAAATATGACAAACGCTGCAAAACCACACAATTTGTATTTATCAATAAATAATACGGCGTCAAGTTCAAATTGATGTAACTGAACTTTAATATCTACATTGATACCCTACTTTGTGTCTTAAGTTATATACTTAAAATATTTTTTTTTAATGTACATGATATAATTTTGAATTAATGCAAAACACGTTGAAGCATAGAACTTTTTTAGACATACCATTTTTTTTATCAGGTGTTTAATACCTGTTATCAGCCGTTTAATCTTGTCAAACTTCATTTGTATTGCTGTCAAATCAAATCATCTATCAGCATTTTCATGAAAGTGACGGGCTAAATTTTATTTTGTTTACGTCCAGTCTAAAAACTTTTCATATTAAAAAAAACCTACAGAAAATGTTAATAGTTTCACCGTGGTTTTTATATTTAAATTAATTTCATGGCTTTTAGAAAAAAAATCAGACGTTTTAAATATTTAACATATTACATCAGTTTTGTAGGAAATTTACGGCAACAAGTTATAAGGTTTTATTATTGTCTTCTGAAAATTTGTAAAATTAGATTTATTCCCTTAAGTGATTTTTTAAACTGTATAATCCAAAAACTAATCATAACTTTTGATTTTATGCGAGTAGTGTTTTTGTAAAAAATATACAGTTATTTTTTAATGTACTGTCAATTTAATCGCTTCAATCACTAAATTTAAATATTATATTGTAAAATTAATTCATCTTTTAACGTGTGTTATAGTTTTTTAAATTGATTTGATACATTTCAACGCGCTTAGATTTCTTAATATATTTTATTGTATATTGGCTTTTCGAAAATAAAACAGCTCATATACTATCGTTTCCATTTGGGTACACATTTTTGTCACTACATTCGTTTGTTTGGCAAAGGTCCGTCCGACCGTGTCGACATTTTACTTTGCCAAAAATGTTAAACATGATATTTTTTCATCAGTAAAACAGCAAAATTCTTTTGTTTTCGTGTAATAATTTTCGCCGGGAAATAAAATCAAACGCTTCCCAAACGACTGCGCCAACCGATCGACACTTGGCCGCTTAGCTAATCGTCATTGTTGTTCCAAGGCGTTTGTACGAGTAATACCGTCGTTCGATAATCCGTTAAAATAACATTTTCTCCGACTACCTTCTGTTGCATATTATTGCATACATACTTTTAAGCTTAAGCTCGAAGAGATCACGTTATCGTCGAGACACGAGTGTGACTCTAGAACCGCAATGGGCAATCAGTTGACAAACAATACGGCTTAGAATCCAAGTATATTATTATTGTACTCGAAAGAAAAGAAAAATAAGATTGCGACATTATTAGTTTTAAATTTTAATACTTATTTATCGATTTACTCGAAGAGCATAATACAATTTTTTTTTTGAACGCAGTACAATTTCGTTGTTTACATATTATTTATTCAACATTATACACAAACGATATCGATTTTCCTGAATAATTGTAAAATAATTTTTTACACAATGCGTCTCATAATGACTAATGAAACACAACAATAAATAATTATCGGTTATATTATAAAAATAAATATGTATTATGCGAAAGATGAATATTTATTTCATTGGTTTTTCTTCGAGCCATTGAACAATATTCACCAACAACACACTTGTACATTATGTGATGGAATAAAATATATACATGGAGAAATACAACTTGTGTATTAAGAAATAATAAAAAAGTAAACGATAGTTTGTTTGATTTAAAAATTTGACATAATAATATAAACAATTGAGGTGATTTATTTGCTTGTACATTTCATATTCGATTAGTTTCAAAAATCACATAAGTAATTTAAGTTTTTGTATCGACTTAACTTTGTAAAAATATTATTGTTTCAACAAGTGTTAAATATACTTTTTGGTGTACATGAGCAAATCATCAAAGAGAATATCAAAAATTCTGGACCATCTAACAATATTATATGAACATACTTTTTTGTTTGGTTAAACGTATAAAATTAAACAAACTAGTTTGACAATTAAGTAAAAAAAAAAAATTGCTCACAAAAAAAAACCAAGGCTATGTTGTTTGTTTTTCATTTGACTACTAACACAATACTGAAGCGGAAAAAGATTTTTAAAAAAAGAAACCCTTTTGGTTTTTAATAAAAAAATCACTGTCTGCGGCGACAGATACAAAACAAAGGCGAACGGACGGATGAATTATTATTCATGGAAATTCTATTACCTCAATTTTACATTTGCTCGAGTTTTTACTAAATCCAAGTTTAAAAATAATCACAATTCTACACTTTTATTTCGAGAACGTCGCATTTGAGTCGTATTTCATAGTTTAGTCTAGTAAGTACTTCCTTGGAACAAACTTGAAATCGACGGATTTTTCGCTTATCTTCATAACTCGGTACCTACCTTGTGTTTACTTCGCCGGTTTTATTATGTTATTACGTTATTTAAGTGCCTAAGTCAATAGCGTTAAAATTTATCAACACATTATTATACCGCGACGATACACAATAATAATAATAATAATATATGTCAATAGCAAAGAAGCAAAGCGGCGACTTAATGTAAATATTGACTCGAAACAAAATCCATCGCACGTACTCTACCGTCGATTGGAAATAGATAAACGTTCAACGTTTTCCATTACGACATTTTATCCTTGAACTATGAGTCGACCTGAGGCAGGAGGTAAAAGTTTCACTAATTGGGAACATTTATTTTGGGAGTTATTTCTTTTTCATCATATTAAAGTTCACTAGATAGGTTTTGGCCGAAATCAACAAACAGGTTACCACTATAGTTACTCGTATAGTTATAAACCGATTTAAAAAAAAAACACTGATTAACAAAAATATTATAAATCGCTCTGAATATTCAGTTAATTTTTTTTTATGATGTATATTAATTCAATTTTCAATTAGTGCATTTAGGACATGAGCGATAGCCCCACCATAGTGGTAACCTCTGCAAACCCGGTAATCGGTAAGCATGTTTTAAACAACAACAATACCGTGATTTATGGGGAGGGGAAAGTACATAATTTATACTCTTAACGGGCGATTGAAAAGATTGTTTGTGCGTTTTCATTTTTCAACTTATCTTTGTCTAAGACGATTAACTTAACCGTTACAGTCCATTTCTTTCGCACTATCTTACGTATTGACCTTTGTGTATATTATATAGTATGAACTATTATAGTCGTTAAAATAATTTGTTTAATGCGTAACTCCTCTGCATTAAAAAGAAACCTTTTGTGTATGTATCGACACAATGGCTATAATGTAGTATCGAACAAAACCAATAGAATTGTTTAATTATTTAAAAAAAAAATCGCTCTTGTTCGATAACGACGTAATAACAAATTTATTAATAATGCAATTGTTGTCAACGATCTTTTGAATATAATAGTTATTGTAGTTTAGGATTTTTATTACATAGCTTTCATCGAAAACAGCTATTAGAAGACCCGTCAATTAATTTTCTATAATATTATAATAGTCTAGTTGTTTTTGGAATTTTTCCCCCTTCTGTCCGCCGGTAGCTTCATAATTATTTAACTTTTTCTTTGCGCTGATTGTCGAAATTCTGTAATACCTATTATTAACATTACCGTATTCCGTAAGTAAACTATTTTGTAATACATTTTTTTTTTTAAACTCACATTTCTAGTGGATTAATTCTAAATGCGTTTGAATAAAATAACAACAGCCGTTGGTTGTGTTTTGAGTACCAAATATCTACAACGTAATTGCACAGATTAATGAACGGCATTGATTGTTTTCATTCGAAGAGCAAATATCCGAGCAAAACGTTGTAAAACAATCGTTAAATTTCATTGACTTAAACAAACTCATTACGATTGTAATTATGTACTTTATTGCTCAACATGCCTATTTCTATATAATTTATTATCGGTGGGTAAATGTATAGTTAAAACGTTTAGGAACATCTCCAGAATCCTTAAACTCCTACAGAACTCCTCTCGTTTTTAAGTCGAAAACGGCCAAAACTGTGTTTTTTTATCACTTTTAGCTGTAATAATTAACAGAGGCCCGTGTCCTTCTCCATCCCCCTCACCCTCACTATGCTGGCTTTTGAACTATCGAACTGCATATTATCTGATTTCGATTCTTGTGCTTTGAACGCTGGCGCAACTAGAGGGGGAAGTTCAAATCCTTCTAAACTCGTTCAGTCTGCAAAAAAAAAAAATATGTCAGCAACCAAACAGACACTGAATATAATTTTTACTGAAATTCTGAGGGAGCTTTCAGAGTTTTTAAAAGGTCTGAACTTCCTCGAGCATCACCCTCTCATGTGCGCCAATGATCAGATATAGTATAGTAACTGTCTCGTCTAGTTTTTTTTTTTTTTATGACATAATGACATTTGCCATTGCTAAAAAGTATTGTTATTTTGTCGCCCGAGTAAAGCGACCGAAAATAAACTCCGGGTAAGAAATGGCGTACTCTCGAATAATAATAAAAAAAAAAATAACAAAAAACTTACCCGAAAGGAACTAATGTTTTGAGAAATCAATAAAGCGCTATCGGATCCTTGAATGTATCTTTGTACGACTAAAGGGGGGGGGCCGGAAGTGAGGAGTGGCGGAAATATACTTCAGTAAATCCTCTGCTTTTCCCCCGGTAAATTCGCCGTTTTCGTTTGCAATATTGACGATTTGCTATTTAATACTACCGTGCGCGTTTTTCTCTACCTCCCCCTCCTGGACTACCCCTTTGATAACACCCGCACGGGTCGCGGTCTGCCCTTATTACAGTTTTCGCATCATCCGTCCACGCGCTCAATTTAATTGAATATTTTCCTCGAGCAGTGTTATACAAATTTCAAAATTGAAAACCGTCTGCAAAGCGAAAATAATCGTTCACCCGTCTGGCGTTGGTTTTCTTAGTCTGAGTCGTTCCGTTTGCGAAAAATTGCCTATACTTTACTCCTCGGAAATGGGCTGTGTATCAAAACAGAGCCATGCGTCATGCGGTTATGTTTTCACACAAAATTCAATGAGCTATTTGCCAATTATTTGAGTTATCGTGTTAACGGTGAATAATATATATTAATATACAATTATTTCAACAATTAATACGGCAATGAGATAATAATAGGATACTTGTAATTCGGACGTTTATTTATCACTATGACATTGACATTTTAATTTTGTAATAATTATTTTCATTACTGAATACTGATGTCGCGTTTGCGATTTTTATATAAAACTTGTTATCGTTTTTTTTTTTACTAAACAAATCTGGCGCAGAACCGTATTGAAAGAGGTATAATCTTAGTGAATATAAACTAAATTATTTTTAGTCACGATGATTTACCTCGGTTCATTTTATCTCATGTTTCGCGGATTCCTTTTTTTATGACGTAACGAAAACGGTATAATACGGTTTTATCATGGGTAGTAAATTTAATTAAATTTTACCTTTTCAGTTCTTCGTTGAAGTTAAAACAAAAATAATAATAATAATAATATGTTAGCGTACCTACGCTGTTTTGTGAATTTAGTACGGATAATCCTATAAAGTAAGTTCGTTGAAGTAAAGGAAAAAAAGAAGCTTATCGTTTCCGCGGATTTTGGTTTTTATAATCGAAAAGGTAACGTGTCCGGCAAAAAGGATTCGTTTCTGTAGTTCACTTCGATGTGGATTTTTTTTCTCCCAACTTGTATATATCTTAATAACATTGAAAAAAGCATCGGTATGTTAGATTTGTAGAAATTTCCAATTCCCATCAAAGGACACGGTATCGTTTGGTCGACCAGGTTTAAATCGTTTTTTTTTTTATTATTATTGAACATTTTTTCCACTCAAAAACTCAAAATTTACCAACCCTGTAAACGCAAGTGTTCATCCAAGTGAGGCCGGACAATAACAAAACGCCACAGACCGTTTAGCAGCCAAATGGTATAGGTTGTGTTTTGTTAATCATTCGCTTTACGCTTTTTATTATTATTACTATTACTTTTACCCTCCGGTATATTCACCCGCCCCTCAATAACAATTATCATAATGAAAACTCTACAGTGATGTTTTGAAAAAAAAATGAAAACACTTACTTAATCGTTGCGCCCATGCACAAAAACGGTTTCTGTCGACTTTTTAAAAGCCTATTAACAAAGCATTTTTATTGGCTTTTTTTATTTTGGTCATTTGTTGTTAGTTATTTTAATTGAAGCTACCGAACGGTACTGACATTTGATGCTATTGGTTTTTACACTTAGCAGACATTCGTGACGTTGCCTTTACATTTTCGAATATCGTGTAAACATCACATTAACCCGATTTAGGTTCCTAAAACAATCTAATTAAACAAAAAAATTAGCAACGCAAAGGACAGTGATGTTACCGGCTAAGATATTGCATGATTATTATTCTAACGCATTATTGAAAATTCATTATTAATCGAACACGTACACTGTTAGCGTGTACCACTTAAAATTAAATCCCAACGTTACCGTTATAATCCCATTATATTATTACAATTTACATACCTGCTAATACCGTTGGTGTAAGTCGGACGTCTGTCTACATTTTTTTTTTTTTTTTTGTAATCGACATAACATGACTGAAAAAAACAGCTGAAACCGTAATACTGTTTCGGAGTGGCTTTAATGATAATTATTTTTATTCATCTACAAGAAGGTTTTTTTTTGCATTCAAAGCCAAAGGCGTCTCTCGCTTCCACGGTAAAAATAAATGTCATTAAATTAAAAGCCAACACACAGCGTGTTGGAATCCGTGCATTAAGCACTAAACCCATAGGTGAATATATATATTATAAACATATTATTGAAGAAAATGTGGAATTTCGCATGAAAGCAAATTTATCAGTATGTGACAACTTATTATTCGACATTTATCTATACTATTGCGAGTTGTGCTTACTTGTTGGTTACTATGCTTCCTTCTGATCTCAGTGGACGAACGACTAAGTTTGGCTTAGCTTTTTGGCATTATGCGACTGAGTACTAGATTAAATCCATGTCAAAATTTAAACTGCCTATTGACTGGTTAATACGACATGATGTATTAATGGCGAAAAAGAATATTAAACTATCGCGTTATGTTCGAATGCTTTTCACAATATTCTGCATTGTTCGATAATTGAATTAAAAAAATAATAATAATAATTTTTCGTGGCCTGGCCTGTATAACAATATTATATAAATTGTACTGTCACAAAATTGTAGAATTATTTTCATTATAAATAAAAACAAAATCGAAAGCCGGCATTTGTGAAAAATCAGCAAAGTGTAAAGCCAGCTTATCCGTTTTAAAAATTAATTACTCTTTCCAACACAGTGACTTCTGCCGGCTGCCAGATTTCGGCATTGTCGACTTTGTTAAGTCTGCCGGAGTTCGGCTTTTTAAATATATCCTCTTTTAAAAATATTACACCAATTACTTATAGACTATAGTTTGCTAAATATTCCCAGAGCTGTAAGATACACATTTAAAAATAGTACCTACCAGATTCATTCAAATTTATAACACATCGTGTGTCATATACCAGTCACGGAAACATCTTGAGAGATATTCAAGTTAGAAAATTTGTTGAACTTTTTTTTTCTTTTAAGAAAAGAAAAATTATTAGATTTGACAATTTATTAAAAATATTGGGCTACAATAATTATAACATTATGTATCATACGATTTTTTATTTATTATAACGTACAATGTCAACAAATTAAATTTAATTAACCACACAATATTTTAGTACTATTAAAGAAGCACGCAACACAAAACAATTTTTTTTTCAAACTATTATTAAATGTTAAATTATTGTAATCAGAACTATTAAAAACGTTTTGGTCACAATCCGATGAAAAAAAAATTATTATTTAAGGAGATATTTAGAATAGCCGCGTGACGTCATTGGGCCGAGCTCGCCATAATTGCCTATCTTACACGTGTAAAGTAGCTCACTTTACACAATGATTTACTAACCTCTAAAACAAAACAGATATTTATCGAGAGTAGGATTCAGTGATATTTTGAAATGAAATTCACAAAAATAAGTACCCAAGCTGAAAAAAAGAACTAAAATATTCGGATATATTACAGTCTTCTAAGATTTATATGTCTAGTGTACCTATCCTTTAAAAAAATAGGTTATAAAACAAAAAATAAAAAATGCTCTAAATGTTTATACGATATTTAATAATGATTTGTAGTACTCATTTTAAAACTTTTTAACTAATATTTAAAAAACCATTTATACATATATTATATTACTAAAATAATAATTGACTGTAAAACCTCGTTTTAATGATATATAAAATCATTTTATTCTTTATGTTGTCTTTAGAACTCGACAAAATTTTATTTAAAAACTTAAGAGAAATATCATTTGTTTTTTGTTTAAATCGAAACTACAGGCTAATATATGCGCTTTTATTGCAGCCCATATCTGTTACTGTTTTAGAGTATCGAAACGAAAACGGGAAAATGTTAGTAATTGGTATATACTTTTACACGATGGAGCGGTCTGGTCATGTAGTGTAATAAAACTCAAACGATAGTCGATAAAACGAAAAACCATGTAAATGCTCAACAGTAAAACACTCCTGTTTTGATACTTAAATATTTATGAATGTTATTATTATTTTTTATGCATAAAATATACATATTTTTTGTAGAAAATAAAATCGGTTCGCCAACAAAAAATAGATACATACTTTACATTAGATTACTATTTAATTAAATGGTGTTATTTTAAAACAGTCGTAATAAAAACTGTGATTAACTAGTATAATATGTCAACATGTCAAATAACTATTATGTTGTATCTTAAGAGTACGGATTGTTTGTTTCAAATTTTAATTGTTAAACCATAAAATTAAAGAAACAGTCGAAAACCATAATACTAAACTAACTTAATTACATAATACCATCTGAGAATACTTTTAAATGCTAACAATAAAAACTTAATTATTAATTCAAATATATATATTTATCTTCTTCGGCATCATCTCTCGCTTTAAAAGTCTAATTAACTGTATGCAAAACCAATGATCGATTAATCATCGAAGACTTAATGTTATTAAGTCTTTATGTTAAGAATTAGTAAAATAATTGAACGGTAATAAAAGAAAACTAATAACAATTTTTAGAAATCAGTAAAATTGTCGGGCGAATGAATAAGTGTAGTCGGAGATCAACCTTAAATAAAAACTATTCTGTACTGCCAAGACTATTTTCCGGATAGGAAATGAATAGTGTCACAGGAAACAAAAGAAAATATACTGTCTACCTTGATATGATGCCCACAAGTATAGCAAATCTGTCTCCCACAAGAGCCAATGTTATTCTCGAAAACTGTCCCTTCCGGTGATTCTGTGCTGTTGCAGCAGTGTTATCACTTTTTTTTTATCACGCCTGCAGTTTATCAATCGCCATTCTTATCACTATCATATCTCTTATCATTTTGTTTTTCCTTGTCGATGCACCGCTCTTATCATCAGCTTTCGATGGTAAATCCGGGCTACTCCGATTAACCGTTGTCGTTTAAATTCGGTTGGTTTGAGATTGATTAAACTAATAGAAAAATATATCATGATGTTTTGCAGACACCCGAAATGAAGAGTATGATCGAAGAGGACTTGGTGGAAGGTAAAAAGTCCGCTTACATCGGATTGTTGCTGCAGAACATTGGAATGTTGACTGGCGCTGGCATTTTGTACTTGATCACGTTCACCAATGCCGTTAGTCAATCGTGATGGCAAGTATAATATAATTGAATAGCATTAGTCGCATTCTACAGTCGAAATATTATAATCCCTGGCCGAATAACAATAATTATTATTGTTCTACATTTTCGTTTGTTCCAGGTACTGAGTGCTCAGTTTTCGGTTTGTTTTGTGTGTGTACATAATATACCTATATGTATGTATATTTTGTCGAACTGTCTACAGAGACAATATGGCACACAAACCGTTCCTGTAGACAAAGATCATTTTTTACATCTGTATAATATACTACTAAAATATTAAACGTTTTTAAAGAGTACAATATTTTTACGCTGTGTACGAGGAACGAGAATGAACACAGTTAGGAAAACGTGTACGTTATCGTTGTATTAATATAGTAAATTATATTATTATTAATTATTTACCACCGATTTCGTGTCGACATAACGTCTTCCGAAGTTTATATTTATATCATATTTTTATATTACACCTGACAAGAGAAAATGTCCACTATATTTTTGTGTATGTTCAAATTTATTGTGATAATTAATTTTAAAAATATGCTGTTGTAATACAAACTACAACTACACCCAAAACGCACAACGTACCTGCCTATAAGTATTTGTCACATATTTTGTTTGTTAGTTTCTTTTTTTTTTTTTGTAAATTTTTTCAACTACATAATTTATTGTTTCACCATTGTCTATAAAAACGCTACAGTTTTTATTCGATACACTTACAAAATACGGTTGATTTTGTTTTATAATAAGTGTTAAGGTATTATTGTTTGAAAATGTCGGAAGAGTTTTTTTTATTATTTGTGTATTTTTCGTTTAGTTTTTATAAAATGTTTCATTATTACAACCGTTATAGATGCACATTGCACATATCGCATTTTTAAAAAAAAATTAATTTGTTTATATAAAATCACTTTTTTGTTATGCTATTGTACATAACTTATTCTTGTTATTTTTTTTTTATTTCCACCCTGGTTGTAGAAAATTATTTATACAATAGTTATTTTCATTAACAGTCATCGTTGATGTTATATCAATTTTATATGATGTATATTATACATATATATTTATATCAGATTATAGGAAATCAGATTAATAATTTTATCATTATGGGGTTGTTCTTCTTGGTTCTTAGACACATCTAAACAACACATCGTTTAATAATAAACATGTATATAAGTACAAAAAAAAAAAAAACATTGCCAAGAAAACGGAATTTATAAGAAGTGTCACGCTACAGAAATGTATTATTTGCAGCTGTCGAGAAGTAACACGAGATGTCTGATTGAATTATTTTAGGTACGGTATATTATAATATTATTTTTAGATATTTGATATCGAACGAGTCCAAAACAAAAAAAACTTATTTAATACGAAACAGAATTTAGAAATCACAACGCTAAGTTTTATTTCATATTGTTATCTCAACTAAAAACAAATGATTTTTGAGTAATGAATTTTTTTATATTGTCAACGTGACCACAGTACGTACGAATAATATTATTTTGAAGTATTTTTGACGTTACCAACGTCCACTGGGGAAATATTCTTTAGATTAGATACCATTTTATTATATCAATTTCTAACAAGCCGCTTAGCGTTCACGACACGTGTAGAAAGTTAGGAAATTATTTTCTTTAACTAAAAAAACCGCTGTAATAGTGAAATCAAAATTGTCTAAGCGACGCCAAGTGGTCGATTTAAGTTTACACGATGGTCCTGAGAGTAAGTGTCTTTCAACGGATAAAAAGTAAAAAAGTAAAAATATTTCATTATAATAGTTGTACAAGACAAATAAACGAATATTAGATGATACAATTATCAACTACACATCTTAACCTCAAAATATTATATCCAATAACAGTCATTTAGTTATTGTTTTAAACCGGTCCGTTAGTGTGGTGAAAGTAAGCATATCTACTCTAGCTAGTTTCTTTTTTTCTTTTCGTTTATGTACTTATTATAGTTTATACAACTAAACATTCTGCAAGTCTTTTGAAGTCTTCTGCAAGTTGGACAGCAAGCTGAAAGTACGGACTACCCGAACGTGTATTTTTGAAAATGTTAAATTTCACGGAACAAAATACATCTGGACGTGGGCACAGCTGCGATAATCATCCGTAATCTCTTTCCGTTCGAGTATCGCTTTGAAAACAAAAAGCAAAAGTACTTTGTACAAAGTCTTACTTAAAAGTTGGCCTTCTGTCGTGTTCTTGGAAAGCGCATAGCAACTTGTGCCAGCACGTCGTCGAATCCACCAAGTATTAAGCCAATCGGCATCGTCGTACACAACAATGTGTGTATGTATACTGACTCTGTATATGTGTTTCCTTGAACTTTGCCGGCGGAAGAGTTCAGCGATATTTTCGAATACAAACATCCGCCCAAGTCAAACGGAATACGTTTGCATCAAGCCAAAGTCTTACAACAGCAACGGAAAAGCCGTCTAGTTCTTTCTGAATCCAGTGTTCTTGCTTATATTTTACCCGAGTAAGTAATTCTCTGTCCCTTACGATCATACTTTGCAGTCGACTGACTGTTTGCAGCGAAGCAACTCCTACACATCAATATACGTCAACACCTAATCGTCGTAAGCCGTTTGGCATGACAGTTTATAAGAAGGTTAGCCCGACATCTTCACTTCTGCGTCGCGTGTCACCCTAAAAAAAGATATTACAAAAAAAAAAAAACACTATCAATTCCATTCCTCCTACTCTCTTTTTTTATTACATTGGATTAGCTACCTGCGTTATTTCAAAGATAATATACTATGTGAGATGAATGCGCAAGTCTATGAAATATATTAATGTAGCACCATTGACAGCACATGGATTCATGGATTGTAACGTATTGTTGAACCAGGATATTAGAGGCTCGCCAAATCCGTTAGGAATCAACGTTTTTACTCCAGTAGAGAGTGATTTACACAGTCAAATGCCATTTAGAATCAAACAAAAATCTTGACTGCTTAAGACGCAAGAACCGTTTGTTAAAAACTGAACTAACTCAAAAGGATGTGATGAACATTTGATGACGGACAACAGGAAAAAAACCTGAGTGAGCGACTGGAAATAGGAACGGGAGATAGAAAATTAGTGTGAAAGAGACAACGCACAAACGGCCTTCGAAATATATAAAACTAATTGCGAGACAGCAGATGAAGTTAGTTTGCGTTGTGGCAAGTACGGCTAGTGCGGATACATAAATGTGTTAAGAAAAAGGGGTCGTCAGACGGATGCTACGAAAGGGGATCAAAGGTGATTTGGTATGATGCGAGGACGTTCGGGGCGCGGGAGATAAAGAATGTCTGTTTTTTTTTTTAATTAAGTTAGTGCGAGGTCAAAAAGTTTACAAAATGGCCCGGGAAAGATGAAGGTACATGAAGATACAAGCGAGTAGACCGACCGACGGACACGGGGACATAGCGGTGATGTGTTCCAACTGAGGCCGAGCAGAAACCTTTTAAAAAGTATAGACATTTTTTTCTCCGAAGCGAGTCCGCTGTTTGGAATAAAAAGAAAAACGTAAACGCTGCAGCAAATAAAATGTAGGATAGCCAATAAGTAATGACGGTAAGGCGAAACGACAATAAAGTACCGTCTGCGTCGGATGCACAATAACAAAATACTATATAAATAGGACCCGGTGCACATGACGGTTAAGACGGATCGGTTAGATTGGATATCAAGCCAAATCGGGGTCGGCTATTCTGTATATTAATCTCACGGGCAAAACGCAACGGCGGAGGGACGCTAACTTAACGGTGATAGAACTTGGAAATTCCACTTGATTTGCATATGGAGGTGGTCAATCACGAGGTTTGCCTTGGATTGAGTCGCTCAGTGGTCTTCTTCTGATCGAGGACCAGATAATATTTTTTACACTTCACCGTGTTTCAAACGAAATTTCTAGTAAACTCATAACCGGAGTAAACACAATAGATTGCACGCGAAAATTGCGCATTCGGCCGTGTTGAATCGGGGAAAAACGCAAACAACAAAAGCGTCAATAAGAGGGTGGAAAAGGGAAAACTTTTCAGATTCAATCCGCTCATAAGAGTTGGTGGTTTCACCGCTGGCTCCCGCCGATTCTTCTACTTAAAGAAAGTTTCCGGAGAAAGAGTAGTATAATTGTCTCAAACTTGTTAGTCGTTACCTTCTTGAACCGTTCGTTCGTGGACGAGGACGACCTTAATGTGTACAGACTTGTGAATTGCCGGGATAACCATCGAAGAAAAACGTTTTTTAAAAAAAATGTAGTTTTACATAGAAATTAAAAACATTTCTTAAAAACGATTTTCTAGAGTAGTCGCTTTTAAAGAATAAAATGAAGTTCTATCTGGACAGTCGAAGAGGAGCGCAACAGTGTTGCCATGCTGGAGATACATATTTTGTTTGCTTGATATTAAAGTTTGGGCACAGTGACACGGTTAGTTAGTTATTCTTTGTACTACCGAAAGGGTTAACGCACAAAGTTAGATTGGACTGTCGTGTTGATTCGCCGCCTCCTCGTTAGCTACACAAAGGTCATATTCGTTTATGGGATTTAAAACGCCTGTATTTATCATATTTCCATCGTCGAAACGGCCCCGTTGTATATTTATTAACAATTTATTTGATTTTTGTCGACGGTTATATCTATATATATTTTATACAATCAATTTCTGTTTATTTATCTTATTTACTCGATTCTGTGATCAAACGCATTCGTTGGATGTTGACTCTTTACCGTGCTTAACTAACAAACGCAGCACTTAACTTGGACGCAACGAACCGTAAGTCGATCCGGTGGAACGTCCAGGATGATAAAAATACCGTTTTTTATATTTTTTAAACGGCTTTTTTTGTTGATAAAATGAAGGTCGAAATGACTTGAGGATTTCCGTATCGTCTTAGACCCTCGTCAATGCACTTTCCGCTTTTCCCACTCGAACGGTGGTCGCGTAAAACTCATGTGTGACACATTACAAGTACAGGTGGTCCGGATTAGAGTGGGATAATACTGTATAAGTAGTATAGGTATAAGCACATATTGTATATTATACGGTACAGACAAGTTGCGTACACCGAAAATATCCGAATGCCTGCAAGGCTTATACGTTTGTGCATTGTGAAACCCTAAAAATAGTTTACATGAACTATTTCACAGATTTGTTTTTCCTCTTTCTAATAATTGGGAACTATTCTGCGGGGTTTGTTTTAACAGGTATTTTTTTTATTATACTTCGTTAAAAAAAAAACACACACATAGGTAACAAAGCAATTTGCCAATCAATTGTGCTGCCTTTAAAATGCAAAGAATGTCTGTCGAGAACAAGGCGTACCTATTTAAATTATTCAATACACGTATAAAGTTATACAAATAATGTTAACGAGAAGATTTAAATTGGCATTTTTTATAAAACCACTGATAAATAAACACTGACAACGCAATCAAATATTGTAATATTGCGTTAATAAAAGCTGGGAGTTATTGCAAACAACCGGTCTATGTTTCGGCTGTGTTGGTAAAATTGTCCGCGAACAGTGTCGCCAACGTCGCAGTGCCCGGCGGTAACACTGGTTCGCGCGTTGTTACGTTTTGTTATTAGGTTAATTAGGTGTTAATTGTTAGGTTCGCCAAATGAACCGAACGGGCTGTATGGGTTGTGAGCTATGAACTTTTTCGAGTCCCCGTCCAAAGTATAATATTTTATCGACCGACTTTGTGTTCTACGACAAATGTATTTTATTTGAATTTTTCTCTCTTCGCAGACCTGCAGATACTCTTCCGGAATGGAAAGCGAACAAACATTTTGCTCGGGAAACGCATAACATAAATTATAAACACACCGTACGTAGGCCCCCGGCAGCTTGTTTAAATTAACAAAAAACATACATTCGCACAAACGGCGTGTCGTCTCACATCCGAGGCACGAAAAAATAAATTATTCACCTTCGAACGCGCCGTGAGAATATTTTATAATAATATAATGTGCATGTACTTACCCGTCGGATATGTCAAACGCCTAGAAAATATTTGTTTTGGCCGAGCCGAAAAGGTATGTTTTTTTATGCGTTGGTTAAGTATTTTCCTTTAGGTTTTTCTCGGTTAAAGTCCTACGCGTTATCTTGCGGACCATAGAAAACTCAAAACACACACACCGAGGCGTATATAATAATAAAAATTTATTTCAATAACAATAATATTGGATAAACAACAAAGAAAAGAAATAATATATGTTTTACAACTATTTTTATACATCACATTGTTTTTTTAAATTTTTTTTTTTTAAGAATAAATTTCTCAAATTAAATCAATATACTTTTACTGTAAACATATATATATATATATGTTACAATGATAGTATAAGAATAATATATTAGAATATAATCGCGTAAAACAAGTGAAAATGTCGTTTAACTACAAAAAAGAAAAATATATAAATATATAATTCGAACAACAACGTATTATGTAACGTTCGGCGTCAAAAATGAAAACTGATATAATAACATTTCCGAACGCAATAAAATAATAAAATATGTTTTTTACACTTTGTTTTTCGATAATTGTAATAATAATATTTGTTTTTTTTGCAAATATTAAATTTTATGTAATTGCGGTAAGATTGCAACTTTATTTTGTCTTTCGTCGACTTAACTTATATAAAAATTAAAAATTATCTTTCTTTATAGTACTATTATAACTCTTATTATTATTATATGCGATGATTTTTTTTTTTTTATCAATAAAATTTGTCATGGTCAAAAACGCATAAATAAACTTTGGTCTTAAATATAACAAAAAAATTATGAACAATATCGATAATCATATTATTATGCGATATTGTTTTATAAATAAATAAATAAATGAAAAATGTATGGGAGGAGAAAAAAACAATGGTTCGAAACAAAAATGTTTTTTTTAGTAGATATGAGAGAAAGTCTTAACATAAAAATAATAATAATGATATCGTGTGATATGCCGTTGTGGCTTTGCTGATCGACCAAGTGCAATCCATCAGCTTTTTCAAAGGCCCCGGCGCCGTTATCGTTGTCATCCAACCGGCGACGGATTGTCATTCTGCCACTGAGGCCACTGTTGATTTTTTGCCACTGATCACTCTGGGATACAACTGGAAAAATTAAAATACACCATTGTAAACCACATTAAAGGTTAAAAAAAACGCACATCTAAGGAGTATAGCTTAACACGATTAGAGCGAAAATTAAAACCACAAGACCGATGGGTGGCTAAGTGTTTGGAAACGAAAAGCTATGAATGTTGGATTTTTTCAAATCAGTGATAAGAGTTGGCTGATAAAAGCCTAAAACGGCGATAGAATATAAAGACGTTTTAAATGAACTCCCAAGGTGACTGTAAGCGTTTTGGTCTAATTTATTTTAAAAAAATGTAAAAAAAAAAAAACGTTGATCTTAAATATGCATATTTCCAGAAAACTAATTTAAGTTTTTAAACTTTAAATTCGGCGGAGAATTCGGTTTGTTTGTAATCAAAATGTTAATATTCCCTTTGGAAGTTGATTTTTATCACGTCTAATAAGGCTAATAATATCTAAAAGAAGTCCGCGCGCATTATTAAGAACCTAAATCTTGTAACAGTCTTAAAATGGCATTTATTTACAAATGCAGCACTTATTTAACTTTTTGTAATTTCATAGACGCCTGTTAATGCCGGGATTTGTTTACTAAATTAAATCAATATTGTTCATTGGTCTAATTAGGTATTTTGTTTTTTATGGCTTTTTGTGTTATTTTGATTACATCTTAACACGCCCAATTTTAGAATTTACACGAAAAAAACATGATTCATTTCTGAACGTTTTTTTTGTTCCACTACAAATAAAAAAACAAATCCAACGCAGCTGTTTGGTCCGTTAAAAAAAAAATAATCATTTATTTCCCCTTTCAAAAAAAATTATTAATCTTAATGTCTATTATTATTTTATTACATCACATTAAACGAAAACGTTGAGTTGAAAAACAAAACAAAATAATACTGTTCGAAATTGTTTAACCGAATGAGCGCGTTTTACTTATTTTGTTTGCAAGTTAACGAACTTTGTTGTGTCAATTCAATTGTATAATTGAATCAAATAAAATAATAATTGATTAATTAGTTTCGAATACCAAAATGGCCATGTCGATTCGTAATTGCCAAAGGAACGATGACATTGCAATAATTACTATACATAGTTAACCTTATTCGGCGGACATATTTTTAATTGTAACAATAACCATAGAACAAAACGGCGAATCCTAAATAATTAAAAATTACGTTGAATTTGCATAAATTTGTATTACAATAAAATATGTTAACGAAAACGCGAAACATACAAATTTGAAGTAGTTGCGTTTAGGCGATTTTCATAAAAATGTAACGCAATTTTCAGCTAAAATTGTTGTGTATATATGTTTAATGTATCTGCATATTATATTAGCATACTAATAAGAATTTTTAATCAGTACTTCAGCTGTACCAAAAAAAGTGTACAATTTTACCAAAAATGCAGAATATTATTTATGTTTTCGGCCTTTTTCAAAGTTCGATTGTATGGACAGATTTTTTTCGGAATCTCCACCATTCGTTTATGTCTCGTTTTTATTGCAGTTGTTATTAACTTTTTAAATATTATTTAAATTTGCAATTGAAAACCCCGCGAGTCGTGATACATTTAAGTTTGATTGTCGAGCCGAGGCAAGTGATTTCACACGCCGGCCAAAGAATCATATGCATGATAATAATTAAATGGAAATATTAACTAAAATAAGATAATAATTTAAATAGAAATTTAAATAATAAACGTGTTAAATTTTTTTTAATAATAATAGATTGTTTAAAATGTTTAATAAAAATAAAAAACTATTTGATTATCTAAATACAAATGTATTTAAATAATTCCCTATTTACAAATGTTAATTGTTTTAAAGCAAAAAAATAATTTTTGTAAATCTCAGGCAACCCCCCCCCCCCGTGTACAACATTTCCAATTTTGATTTATCTTCTGCCGAAAACCGTTTAAAATACTACTACATCGTTTTCCACCTCCTCAAGACAAACACATAACAAGCAGCAGCAACACGGTCCGCGCAAATACTGTTATAGTACAACTACGCGCGAGACGGGGATGAAAGCGGGTGGTAGGGGGTAGGGGCACAAGGGTGGTTTTTTTTAAAATTAATAACGTTCGCGAGAGCTCCACCGAAGTGCTACTCGACGACGGCGGTGCCGACCTACAGGATACTCACCCCCAGAAGGTTGCGGGGAACGTATCCTTCCCGGTCGTCGATCCTGGACCACCACCATTCCCTTTCGCTGTCGTCGCCCTTCCGCAACACGACTATGCGGTCGCCGTCGTCGAACGACAGCTCGTCCTGGTTGTGCGCCTCGTACCCGAACACGGCGTACACGGCCCCGTTGTTCATGATGCCCAGTTTCTCCTGGACGCCTGTAGATTAGATAAAGATACACCACGGTTATCAATCAAGTTTGTCGCTCAAAGTGCGGCGGGGCGAGATTTTCAGCAGCAGCAGCACTCACTGTACAGAAATTCGGAACAACCGTCGAAACCCTCCTCGTCCTCTTCGCACTTCTCCGCGGCCGTCTCCTGGTCGGACAGCGTGGTGGCGAATATGCAGGCGCCGTGTTCCACCAAAAACCGGACCATGGCAAGGTTGTTGCAACTGGCGGCGCAGTGCAACGGAGTCCTGCAAGAACAAAACACAACCGCCGTGTAAACGATTAGGTTTGGATTACCCATAGTTGTTAACCGTAACCATCATAACACCCAACTCGGAAACGTATTAAAAGTAGTTAAAAAACGTGAACACGTCTAACGATTGACCGAACCAGATGATTTTGACCCAATGGCTGTAGAGTTTTACAGTGCAGTATGTTGGACACTAATATCGGTAGAAGCGATTAGCCGCCTTCTCGATTGTTATAGAGTTAGAACTTTGAACAAAATATCGCCTCTTTTTTTATTAATATTTAATATTCGATGCAGTTTTAGCGTTGCTAACTGGCAAGCACAATATAAAACAGTTTTTGGCGTTTTTATATGGCGAATTCCGTGGTCTAGCCATTAAACTGTCGCTTTTCGTTTACAACAACGTTATTGCCTTATTATATTATCCTCGGTATAAGATGAGCAGCAAAAACGATGCGTTTAATGGGTTTCCCAGTCTCCACTTCAGTAAGGCCACTTGACGACTTCCTTAGAGGGAATGCAATTAAACGAAAACATAAAAGTCGTAAGTCCGATTACCGCTCCACTCTTCAAAGCAGGTAAGTAAGGTATTAAATGTTACAAAGAAAATTCAAACAAATAGGGGTTGGGGGAATGAATTATTAAAAAGCCAAGCCGGAAACCGCACTTTATAATACCTAACCGTCCGCCCGGCTGGTACGAAATAATAATTGCACGGTAATACAAAATATATTGTACAATATGAATTTTCATTTTTTATTCATTGATTTTTATATTTTATAGTTATTTTTATGAATTTTGTTTTATTATAATTTATCGTGTGTCACTATTTTTGTATTATTAACGTCGAGTGTTGTCGCATCATCTGTATTTTAGTTCAACAGAAAAGGGTGTTACTCTGTATATATGTATATTTATAAATAAATATGTTCTTTTCAATATTTTTTGTACATAAATAAGTATAAAATATTTAAATATTTGCCAGTAAAATCTAAGCGCATCTGTTTTTGTTTTAGAATTATTGTTTATACATTATTGAAATATATATATATATATATATATATATTGAAGACAACTTATGACCATCACTCGAAAAACAATTTTAATTTGGTTCTTCTGTACATAAACGTCACTTACATCCATTTGATTATCACCACTTTGATTCGAAAAGTGTTAAATTATGCGTTGACGCATAAATATGCACTTTGAGAGTGAAAATCGGACAACAAATAATGGCATTAAAATTCGAACAATTTGGGAAAATCTTTCGCATGAAACGACACTATTTAAATAGTGAAAATTAGTATTGGATAAATAGTAGCAGGTTACTCACCATCCGTCGGAGTCTTGAGCGTTCACATCACAGCCAAACTTAACTAAAAACTTAACAATGTCTATATGGCCGGCGCATATGGCATTGTGTAGCGCAGTTATTCCCTCGTCGTTTGCCGCGCTAGGATTGCCCACCTGCGAATCACATAAACCACAATATAGAGAATACAATTTCCGTTAAATAAAAACAAAAACAATCTAGTTATTTTCTCAGTTACACGGACAATCATTGCACCACGGATATGTTCTATCTCTTATCGCTTATCATTTACATATTATCACCTACCTCTCACTCATCTCATCTCTTACACATAACCTTTTATCGCTTGTATCTATTCTCTCATCACTCAATTTTTATCATTTATCTCATTTGTGAGACATGACTCATACCTGTTCGGCGGTTCGCATGACCAGTTCGAGTTCGCCTTCCAACGAAGCGTCCAAAAGCAGCGCCAGCGGATCGAACGACACTCGCCGCTTGTGGCCGATGCTTCCGCCGGACTCCTTTAGGTTACCCTTTTTGCGGACCACCAGTCTGTTTCGGCATTCCACTGTGCAAACAAACAAATAAATAGTTTAAAAATCGGCTCATTTTCTTCGCTGCACGGAAAAAGCAAATCGTCCCCTCGTCGAGGAGAAACATAATATAAATCATCAGTATGATTTATGACAACCGCCCAATTATAATATTAACTGAACATTTCACACGAGAGTCACCTTATGGTTTATTATGAAAAAGACGGACGATAAGAAGAAGGGATGACACGTGCAACGTTGAATCATGAATATGTTTTTAGTGTTTGATAAATACCCATCTCTTCCCCTCCCTTCCGATATGGAATAAGGTGTATTCTATCAGACTTCAATCGTTCTATGTACTCTGTTTAGAATCGAATTTCAAAAAATAAAAGGATAAACCACGAGAGAGGAACAACATTTCAAGTAGTTAAATTCCGTCGCGGTGTCTACAAGTAGGAGATGAACAAAGCAATTCTATTTAAGCGTAAAGCTGCAGTTTTTAATGCAAGCCCGACCTCGCTGTTTGATCCGGCAAAAAAAACTCTCAACGACTTCTCATTAAAGCCAAGCTGTATTTATTATTATTTTTTATACCCATTTCCTGTAATCGAATTTTAGAAATAATATGCACTCACCACCTTCGCTTTGAATAAACAGTTTATTTAAACAGCTCGGCGATTATATCTGTTCGGCGTAAATAGCAAATTAAACTTTTGTCGATATTATATTTTGTTTATTAAATAAAAATATAACTGATAAAACTACAAGGTGCGTTTATTTATTTATTCATTTTTTTCAAAGGAAACATAAAAACGAATTTAAAAAAGCAGGTGTTTTGTACGACGAAATTATTAAAATAAAAAGGATGGTTTTTTTTTTATGAAAAATAAACATGTCAAATCGACAAAAAAAGATCATCATAGATTACCGGCAGCTTTTGAACCCGCTAAGCTAAATCTAAAGGAGCAACTCCAATCCTCTTAATCACATTCAATTTTTTTTTTTAAATACAAAATTCTACGCTAATTGTTATGATTACCATAAATACAACTCAACACACAAATGATTTACCATTTAATTTTTAATTTGCTTATTATTATATTGTAGCGGTTATTCTCAACAGTATCAGAATTTTTACCAAAAGCGGAACAAAGTTGAATATCGGCCGGTAGTAGCCGTCGTTACCCCATTGGTATAAACCAGTGTACATAGCCTAACCCACACACTTTAGTATTATTAAACTTTTTATTTTTGTAAACCGCTAAACCGATTTATTCGTGTAATAAGTCTATAGGTCGTAAAAAATCGTACACGAATAGTACTTTGTGGGGGGTTTAACACAGTACAGAGTTAGTATAGGTTTAACTTGGAAGTTTGAGAAAAACGTCCAACAAATTTGCAAATTTGCTCAGAAATTTTTTGTGGGCTATTACATAGGATATAGGAAAAGAACATAGGAAAAATAGATATAGAAGATATAGGAAAAAATATCAAAAACCCTTTTCCTTCCCTCTAAAGAGATGGAAACACTCAAACGTTACTCACGTGAAATGACGTCGTCCCTGCCCGAGTCCTGCCCCGAGTCGGGCGACGAAGAGCTATGGTTGCTGGTGCTGTTGTCGTCGGCCGACGATGACCCTCCGCAGAGACCTCCGCCACCGACACCGCCGCCGTTGCTGCCGCCTCCGCCGAACCTGGTCTCCAGCTCGTCGATGCGCTGCGCCACGCTGACGGCTACCCTGTCCGTTTCGTCGGCGTCCTTTTGCGCGGCCTGATGGTCCACGGCCGTCGCCGCCTGAGTCCGGGACTTGTCCGCGACGCCGTTCAGGTCGGTCACGGGATAGGCGGACGTCCGGCCGTTGATGAGCACGGGCAACCGCTGCGGTTTGCCGCCGTCGTTGGCCTGTTGTTGTAGTTCTTTTTGGCCGGCCGACTGTTCCGGAGCGCCAGGAACGACCGCGGGCGGCGCCGGATGAGGAGGTGGTGACGATTTGGCCGATATGTTCATCGACCTCACGCTGTCCAACAGGTGACCGTTCCTAAAAGAAAAAAAAGAACCCAATAAATTTCCTAATCGGATCCCGTTAACATACACTATGGCTTTTTATTGAAAAATTAACAATAAGTTGGCTTTAAAAAAATAACCTTCTAGAGATATGAAAAAACCATGACCTACACCATTGTTGTCTAAATAATAAGTTAGATAGGTCTCACGCCTGAAATTAGGAAGGTGTGGCGTTCTAGGGACCTAACCTAACCTCAACCGAATCAATTTGGTAATTTTGGTACCCGGTAAGCAAATTAAAACTAACAAATTAATTAGTTTAACTTAACCTACCTGACCGCATTATCCAGGTGACTGTTATTGAAGAATCCTAATTTGCTAACCTAATCTAACCATTCCCCCAACGTAATCTTAATTAAAAAAACAAGATGACTCTTAATCCAATGATAAACGACATTACGTTCGGGATGCAACGGTATGACATACGGACTGGACGAAGAGAAAGAGAGAGAACGTTAATTAGTTTTGGATTAAAACGTCTTAGAGTTTGGAACAGTCGTCAAAATAACATTGAGAAAAACGTATTAATAATGTAACCGAATACAAGTTCCAAGCCATTTTAATTTATGATATCTAATTACACGGTACAAGTTGTACATTGATAGGTATAGTAATAAAATGCTGTAAGTTAAATGTTGTAAGTTATAGCATGTACATCAAACTTTCGAGGTATAATTTCGCATTATCGTATTCTCCCATTAAAGTAATACGTTTCGTCGGCAAAAAAAAAACGCGGGAAAGCGCGGTCCTCAGATGATAAAGGTTAACGAATTAAACCGAAAGTCTATTAGAAAATTAACCAAATACAATGTTCGAAAGTCTTATCTAATGACCTGTGGTCAATGAGGGTGGGTTGTGTTGAAACCTTAAAAAAATTCGTTTAGACGTCCGAGCACAGTCAATCAAGTCGAGGTGTAGGCTTAAGAGTTTAAGTACAATTATAACTGTGCACGTACTTGATGTTGCCGAACGCAGACGACCGGATGGACGCCGAACTGGACGAGTTGTCCGATTCGGACGAGTCCACCGAATTGCCGAAGCCGGACTTGATGATTCCGTTGGGTATCCTCGGCGGTGGCGTCAGGTCTTTCTGTTGTCCTGTGACGGGTGCAGGCCTGTCGGCGGTATAGTAAGTACGGCCGTCGTCGGCCGCGGGCTGCTGATTGTCCGTCGCCGGCTGATGGTACTGCTGAGGTAGATGGTAAGCGCTCTGTCTGGGCGGCGGAGGCGGCGTGGACGTTTTGATGCCCATCGGGGGAGGCGGTTTCGGGGGCAGAGCCGGCTTGCTGGCCGTCGGACTTCCTGGTCGGTCGCCGACGACTCCGCAAGGTTCCACGGGTTTGGTCTCCCTGGTCGCCGCCGCCATCGCCGATTGGTGGTTGGCCGCCATCGAATTGAGCACTTGAGGCTGCACCGGTTGTACCTTGGTCGAAGAGGTCTGATAAATAGGTGACACGCTACTAGTCGGTTTCTAAAAGCGCACGTGACGTTCAATTAAACAAACAACAACACATATGAATGCTACAATTACTGCTTAAAACGTGTGCTCGAGTTAATGAACCATAAAAAGCTCTAAAAAAAAAATCAAAAATCTACCAACAATCACAATATTTTTTGCAAATGATAATATACAAATGGCAACTCGTCATCTCTCCAAAAACTCGAAGCCTAGACTATCTAATATCGGTGTTCAACTTGACTATAACTTATTGCGATTATGCTTTCAAATCCATACACACATTTAAGTAGCAATCGGCAGAAGGGTCAAAAGCGTCGAGTGGTTTTCAACTCTTACCTGATGGTTACTGAGGCTCGTCCCTCCGACCGGCTGGCTTCTGGTGTTCAAAATAGGCGGGTGCATCGAATAGCTTAGAGGTCTGATGAAACACAACAAAAATGGAAATATTAGTAAAAAAAAAAAAATAGCGGTAAAAATATAAACAACGGCGATGAAGTGAATGTATTACCTTGGTGTCACGTGATTTGTGGACGAAAGAGGTTTTGTGTGGTACACTTGAGCGTTGATCGGTCGGCTGGAACTCTGCATTTGCAGGTTCTGTCCCAGGTTGGTCATCACTTGGCCGGACAGGATTGGAGGTTTTTTACTGTGTATCGTGCCGTTCATTTTTTGATCGCCGTAACCGTTATTATTGACTAGGTCTCTATTGTTGTCGTCCAACATGTTGTCTTCGTTGTGTTGCCCGTACCATTGTTGTTGTTGTTGTTGTTGTTGGTGCTGCTGCTGCTGCTGTTGCTGAAACTGCTGCTGCTGATGTTGAAACTGTTGCTGATGCTGTTGTTGCGTCTGCATCGGTTGCTGATGATTGCCACCGTTGTAGTTGGCCAGCGGCGAGAATTTCGTGTTGTACGGCAAAGTCTGGTACTTGGGATCGAATTTGCCGAAGTACGCCAGGTCAGCCTGATTGCCGTTGGTCTGCGGTTCGACCTTGTAAACGTCGTGCTTGGCCATTTGATACTGTTGATAGGGATCGGGCGGACACGGCTTCTGCTGCACCAGCGGCTGTTGGGACAATGACTTCTGCTGTTCCGGTCTGGCCGTCGGATAGCCCGTGGTAGCGTGGCTCAGGATGTTGTCTTCGGACTTGCGCAGCTGAGAGTTCTTGCTCATGGCGTCCGGTATGTGGTTGAAAGGTTCCACGGCCGCCACGTTACCGCCGCTCATCTTTCCATCGCACAGCGGCATCATCTGTTTGCCCGGACCGCCCAGAGACCTGCGAAACCAAATCACATAAAATTCGCATTACAAAACTTCCAAATAAGTACTACGAGTACCCATGTCAGACAAATACGTCGATAATATGAATAGTGGAAATTTTGAACAATTTTAGAGCTAACTTGTAAGCTGGGAAAAGTGACATACTAATTTGCGCCATCGTCTCACAGAAATATACAATCTGGAACCCTTACGAGCCTACCTCTGGTGCCTCTTCCCCCCACGCGAAAGTCAACTATAGTAGCTACTAGTCGGCCGAGCAACATGTGCCCTTATGTATGTTACAACTCACCTGTTGTTATTTCCCGGTTTGCTGGCTTGGATCTGATTGGCCAACTGTTGATTGAGCAATCTCTTCCTGTGCAGCCTGGCCTGCAGCTCCGATATCCTGCGGTCGATCGAAGCCATTTCCTCCTGCCGCTTCGACAACACTTCTCGCTGTTGGACCAACCTGGCCGTCTGCTGTTCGCCCAATTTGTTTCGGTACTTTAGGGGGAAAAAAAGAAAAATTTGAAAACTAATTGTCGGCTTACAAGAGACCCACGCCTCTCTACTTACCAACAACTCGGCCCGCAGTTTGTCGAGTTCCATGGAGGCTGGCGACGTTGGCTGCGATTGTCCTCGGCCTTTTTGCACGTCTTCCAGTTGTCTAGTCAACTCGTCCACTTTGGCCACGGCCATGGTAAGTTCCTTTTCCTTCTCGTTGAACAGCGCCCGAATCGACTCCAGGTCCGAAGCTGAAACACAATCGTAGTATACAACGTTAAAAAACTTAAGGCCATCAAAATCCACGTACAGACTTGCACGTATTCATCATTGTGTTTTACGTCCGACATATTTCCAGCGGGTCACGTTCCGAGTTTCTACCCTCGGGGTCGAGTAAAAAAAAAAACAATATAGTTGGATTTCGGTGGAGAAAAAAAAACGTTAACCCTCTGTCTAATCCAGAACTGCCACGCGATATGGCAGGACCGCCGGTAGGGTAGGGGTAAAAAATGTGTGTAACGCCAACGCGACATATAACAAAACCAACACTGTCGGATATCCCCGGAGAGGATATTTAGGTGTCAAATCCCGTGGAAAATTATCCCCAGAGCCCCGGGGCAAGGTGGGGGGGGGAGGCGCTGTCAAAAAACGGTCATAAATTCAGCGCGTGACAAACCGTAACAGATTGTTTTGCGACGGGATAGTGTTATATATATATGGATCCGGATGTGTGTACGTAGGTACATAATAATATTATACATGTGGTGGTAAACCGGGCGAGCATAATTTAACAGTGTGCAGTACGTCGTCAAGTGTTTGAGCAAATACCGCGAATCTCTAATTAACAGACCGAATAATTTGATTTGCGCGCCCGTCGAACGCCGCGCCGTCGCTGTCTGGCTGTTTCCGAACATAATACACCTACTCGTATAGTATATAATAAAAGGGACCGACGTTAAGCCCGACACCCGCCGAAACTTTAATTCATCAGTGAGCAACACATAAAGATATATACACAGACATGCGGGCGCGGTATATAAGGCAGCACCGAAAAATCTAATCTGCCGCCTTCGAAATCCTTTCATCTTTCCAGTTAATTGTTTTCTTCTTCGAGCGCGCGCGCGAAACGGGTTAGATTAACAATGATTAATGGTGGCGCTTAAACAGCGATAAAACGTTTTAAGGCTATTTTTTTTATTTTTTATTTTGGTCTCCAAACTTTAGGAGCGGCGAAACGACGACCCGGAGCGCTAAAAGCTAAGTCGCAAAGTCGGTATATACAAATTTGAGTAGTATTATATACGAGGACAATATTGCCGCCGTCGTTCCCGGCAGAACGGCACGCATCCTTCAAACACAGCTCAGGCGAAGCTACCAATCAAACAAATGGACCGAATAAACCGGCAACAGACAAGGTGTAAGAGATTAAGATGTGAACAAAAATAATAACAATGCATACAACACAGTATTATACGGTTTAAGGAGAGAAAAAAAAACAAATCGTCTGAGCGTTTCCTTTTGACGTCAAAACAGAAGACCGTTTAAATTATTCACGAACCAGACCTTATAAAATATTTGCTATTTAATGTAACTGCAGCGGCGCCCGGGGAATCCTTAAGAACGCAATAAAATAATATATTATGTAAACCGAGTAAACCATAGAGTTATTGAAAAACGAAATTCCACGGGGGAAAATATTATAATAATAAATATGAAAACCGGGATTCGCCGAAAACCGTGAGTGTTTAAAATGTTACAGCGTGTAAACGGTAATAGACTTGGATGTGTTTCGATCACGGTAGACCGACGTCAAGTAAAATTATAATAATAAAAAAAACAACAAAGACGAGTTGACACGACTGGATGAGAAAAGTCGAAAAAAATAATACAACGAAAAATTGCAAGTTATTCATAGACATGGGCGGACTACACACACGGGATGTCTCCAATAGTAAATTAAAACAATTTCGGCCACCGTGATGTACCTATATACATAGATACACGAAAATAAGATTGGATTTTTTTTTACAATATGTTATTATAAACATTTAAAGTTAGGGGGAATGGCGTCGCTTGTACGGGATTCACCTTAAGCTTTGGCGCAGAGAAGGTGTTGGTGCGTTTTTATTTTTGTGCTTAGACCCACGATAACCCTTCAACTACTGGGTCCATTTTTTTATGTAGCACGTCTATAGATCAGCGGTTGTCAGTTCCCCTTCCAAGTGTAAATTGTACTGATAAAAGAGTATATTAATGTGTCCCGAAAAAACATGAAAACTTGGTAGACAACAATTTTTTTTCATCTGATGAAAAATTCATAAAAAAAATACGATTACAATAAACCAGTTATATTGCCTATCAGAAGAGAAAAAAAAATTCTTTGTTTTTAAAATTATTATGCCAAGAACATACTCGCGCCGCAAATTTAGATTTAAATGAGTGTGCTTGGACCAACTATGAAAACCGTGTCGGTCTGGGCGCGGGATAACTTTTTCTATATAGTTTAGAACTTCTATAGGTTAAGGTATTGTTAAATGAAGAGGGGGGGGGGCGTTTTCCCATTGTGACTCGGACAATTCGCCTAAAAGTAATTATCATGCACACAATACTGGGGGGCGCGCGAGGTATATTTTATTCGGTGAGATATTCGAATTGGTTTTGAAATTCGATTAAATACTTTGGTCGGTGGTGTTTAGTGCCGCGGTCGGCGACCCGTTAAATAAACTCTCGGCGCTTTTGTCTCCTCGACGTACAACCAAACTTAATGCAATAAGTAAACGACGGTCGGCCCGAAAAGAACACCACTAAATCGACGGAGAGACTCCCGTTGCATTAAAAAAGAAAGAAAAAAAAAGGATAAAGCGTATTTGGGGGGAGGGATGTTAGAGGGGCGCACGCAAATGGCGGACAATTTTCCAGATGGACCGCAATGCAACCGATGATTTATTATCGTTATAAGACATAATAATATTATATATAACGACGCGAGCGAGCACCGACCGATTGACCGATTATTTATGATGATTCTCCAGATCGTTCCCGGGGGAGACGCGCGGCGTCGGCGGTGTTATCCCGGGATAGGTCCCGATAACAATGGCCCGTGGATACAGCGTGCTCTGGTCCGGGACCGAGACGACACGGTCATTTAACATTTCCCATACGGAAAGGAGGGAGAGAGGACACATAGCCCGTTCGTCGTATTGTACACATAACTAACTCCAACGCGATACACGATAGTGTTATGCGCTTAAGGATTTGTGGCTTGGCTGGTTAGCCCCCGACGATGACGATGACGATTATGATGACGAATAATAATTTATAGGCAAATAAATTACTTAGATTATATATTTTTTGCTCCCCACCGACAAGTTGACTGTCGTTTTAACAATATTAAACTGCCCGGGCTGTATACACAGTTGTATATCTGAACGGCTTGTCGAGTCCCTAAACGTTTCCACGGTAATTATTGTCCAAACGAATTTGTGTATGGACAAAATAAAATAACAATTACATTGCTAATAAAATAATTACTTCTGTAAGTTCTAATAAAATATCACTTGTTGTGTTGCGGTTGAATTGACGTCTCACAAATTACCCAATTACAATATAACGGGGCGAGCGCGTTAGCTTTAATTATTATAAATGTGATTTATTCGTTGAAACGTTAAAAGAAAAAACAACGCCACTCGAAAAGTTTCAAAAATAATAAATTTCAATTTAATTTACACTTAAATTATATTTAATATAGTTTAAATCAAAACGTAAAACCCGTTTAGCACTTTTAATCGTTATTAAAATTATTATAAATGAGCGCTGTATATAACGAAGTGGATTTTCAGTGTTTTTTTTTTTTAATGATGAAAACATTTTGTATAAACAAAAACTTTCAGCGATGGCAATATTATAACGATGGGACTTTGAACGCGAAAACATGAACTCAGACAACGACAACACACAAGTGACTTTTGATGGACTAAACTTGTGTACCGTTTTTATGCGACCGTAAAACGTTGTTGATGTCGTGGCGGAAAGGTAAAAAACGAATCCAAAAATAAAAAAAGAGGTGAATACAAATCCGTATGAAATCTCATTACGAGGATGAAAAGAACTCTGATTTTTGACACCGTCCGTCGGTACGGGCAAAACAATTATAATGAACCGTATCGACTGCAAACTATATTACTATTGTTATTATTATCATACATAATAACAACGCGACGCAGTACCCTGGAGCAAATATTATACATCTTAATTAGGCCGTAAACATTTTTAAAAAAGTGTCCAAAGTTACCGCTATTATTAAACACGTTTAATGAATAAATCATGAACTTTAATGGGACTGCTCGAAAGTAATAACACTCTCTCTCACTAATGGTTATTCATTTATGCTTTTGTTCGGCAAGGTTTTCCGGAGAGACCGCGATAGTGTGGGATGGACAAGGGTGCATGTGGGGTGGGGGAGGTGCGGTCTGTTCACCGGTGGTGTTATGTGAAAATGACTCTCCTCTATAATAGAACGTCGCGAGTCGCATCCGCCGCCGGGTCAAAGAATAAGGTCACCGGTTTGGGTAATTAGCGTCTGGTGAAACGGACTTACCACGGTCAAAAGTTAATTTAAAATCATCCGGACGAAATCCCAACCTTTGAGAGTAAAATTCAGCGACAACGCATTTTCAAATGCGAGCAGAAGACACAAACGGAGCCGCTACATTAAAAAATGTCCTCCCTCTTCGAGTAGAAGATACATTGGGAGAAAAGACATTTTGTTTAAAGCCGAGCACTTTTTTTTTATTAACACAAATAGTCAATATGTCACACGTCCCGCGCATTTCCATTTGGCGGGCTGACGTTTTTTTTTTGCGCTATTTCTTTATCTTATATTATTTATTTGTATTTTGTATGTCTCGCCGGCTGCCAATTTAGGCACTTGAACACTGTAGGCAATCATTTTTCATTGCTAACCGCGAGTGTTATTTTTCCCACTTTATCCATAACAGACCGACACAAATATAATATAAGACGATCGTCGCACTAAAAAAGCGTAAGTTTCAAAATGTATTTTAATAAACACCGAGACGTATGATTTATTTCACCCTTCTCGATGAATAAGCACTTACCAAACCGTTGCCAATGAAGAACACACAACGGGCAACCGCGCAACGATTAAAAACCTTCGCCTAATAACAAGCATTCCGAACAGATTTCTCAGACCATAATATCGTTAATAGCGCCAAGTAACCGTGTATTAGAT